TTTTCCCGTCAGAGGTGAATATGATTTCAGTGAAACGGAGGTAGAGGTCTTCGAGGAATATGTAGGGATTAGGAAGATTACCGGGAACGCTCGAACGGAGTCGGGCCGAAGTGTCATGAGGCCAGAATACGAGTTCAGTGCTCTTCACTGCTATTTGCTCGACCGTCTCAAGTCTCAACCCTAAGGAGTTCTGCACAAGTGCCCATCCTTATGAACGGCTCGAGACAAAGCAGTCCCGATGCGATAAATTAATTATAATGATCTGTCCCTTTAAGAGAGTCTCGAATGCATCTGTTTAACATCCGGACTATGACACTAGAACAATCGTAGATTATACTCACGGTCCTCGTTCATCACAAGGGCCGGGAATGGACAGCGAGGAATTTCTCTGTAGCCCGCGCGTCCGCGGTAACTCTCGAGCGAGATGACCGTCTGGGAAAAGCTGAACTTATGCCAACCGGGCCTCGACGAATCCGTGACGTCGGTACGTCTACGGTACGTAGTTTACTAGCGAAACAGCCAGTGAGTTCGATCGTGCTGGTTTGTCGCTTGGTGACTTGCGTCAATGACTGTTTCATTCTCCCGGTCCATCGAGCAGCCTGACCCAGGCGTTGCATCGCTGAGCGGGGTCGATCGCCCACCCGTTCACTTGATCACTCTCCTCGTACTTCTGCCGCTGCTGCTGCTGATTCTCTCGTTCGCTTGATCAGCCATTTGTATTTCTCGCTAATGACGACGACAACGTCGACAATGAGAATATATCGTTGATGAGGTTTCCGATGTATCGGCGGCGAGCGTAGAGCTCATACTGACACAGATGTGACGACGGCGCAGCATCGACCCGGCGACGCTATTCCGCCGGGAAAAAATCGCCGCTCCTCTCAGAAGACCGGCAGTCCTATAGGAGAAGCTCTCCGTACAGAAGACGAAAGGGGACGATTCTCAGCTTCACGACGGAACTCTCTAATTTTCCGAATGCGCGGAATCCGGGGCGGTCCTCGCTCAAATAAGCTCTTCTCCGACCGAGCGACAATCATGATGATCTTCCGATTCATTCGCGGTGAGGGTCGGATACCCGTCAAGTATTCATTGTCTCTTTTATGGACGAACTTATCCGTCAATCCGGTATCAATCTCGCGATCGGTCGGCCGCGAACGTGCGTGCGCGCGGGTCCTTCAATCGGCTCGCCAAGTAATAGTTCGTGAACACAGGGATCGCTGAAGAAGTTCCAGTATAACGCCACGGCGCCCCTGAGCACGCACATTGCCTTGCGTGGACAGACGACCGACCGAACGTCCGTGCGTGCGTTCGTCCTGACGGGCTAGCGGCTTGGCTGGCGAACTCACTCGGTGACTATCTGGTTGGAACGCCGGCCACCCTAGCATCGTCCCGTTGGTGTGGAGCCTGAGTCGCGCGCACGTAATGTCGGTAACACCGCCTTCACCGTGGCGTCGGCGCGCGGCTACAATCTAGCGGCGGCCGCAACAACGAAACACAGACGACGCGCCAACGCGGCGATAGATGAGTGCTTGCTGGCGTGAGATCCGGCCAGCTGCATAAAGTCGCGATATTGAACGGACTCTGACGCTGACGAGAAAGGACAGATAGCCCGACAAGGGCTCTCGGACCGATTATTATCTACGATCCACAGTAAATGCCGCACTGCTTCTACATATTTCCGCCTCTCCCCGACTTCATCCGTGGGGTCTATTAGTCGCTTCCACCCAGGGCCGCATAAGGCTTGGGAAAAATTCGCTTTGATTGTTTGTGGTGAGGAAAATCTGTTCGTAAATATGCGCGCTCTTCCTCTCGTAAGACCGTCGCGTCGCTTGTTATCAGAAGAAGTCTAGTCATTCTTCTGTGACCAGACACCGTTCAACCGGGGCTCTCTCCCTTGACGAAGTCAGCGCGCGGGAAGAGTCTTGGGTGTTCCTTCGTGGAGCTCATGAGAATCCAACGGCAATCATCGGACGGGACAGCCGATGATGGGGGAATCCGGAATAAATCCTCGTGTCGTAGTCAAATTCTGTTTACTGCTCCATCAGATCTTCTACGGCTCAGAATCCGAATGTTAGACCATTCGCGGACCTGGAGCTGCCCCAGAGGTCGGGCATGCCCTCTGGAGGAAAAAGTTCTCGATTGAGACATTCTTCGTTGGCAACGAATCGGCAGACCCATTGGTTTTACAGCGCTTCGCAATACGGGGGACTGGGGGCATTCCTCCCAAGACTGTCCTCGTCTGAATCTTCGTAAATTCTGACGAAGGAGACCGTCAACCGGGAAGGCTTCGGTTGACATCCTCGATTGAAAGGGGAAGCGAACATACGGAGACGCCGTCGATTTCATATCTGGGGTTTGCTTTCAAAGGAACGCTGACATGATTCCAGTATGATAGTATGGAAACGATATGCTCGAAGTTGGGTGTAATTCGTTCAGCTAGAGACGGACGTGAGTGGGCAACTTTCTGCAATTCAGACCGTGCGCTCGTGACCCTCGCGGTGGAATTCAGTGAGCGAGCAGGCAAACGAGATCGCTCGTAGATCTCTCGCCCGTCGTGGGATGTGTCGGAGATCAGCTGGACTCTATCACGTTATACGTGAAGACTCTGTTATTCTACTCTCGTTGCTCGAACTCTCTTGATCAATTCAAGTATTAGATACCTAGTTCCTTTCTCGGTGATTATCGATCTCGGCCGAGCGTCTCGTTGACACGAGCCCCTGCCCATCTTATACGAGCGGGTCGCCTAGAAGCAACGATTATTCGATTTCCGATTCGACTTCACATGGCTCCCTTGCATCCGAGATGAAGGGAAATCGTGGACGCGAAAAACCCGAACGAGCAGAAACCTTATCCGAAGGAGGGAGAGTCGCTCAGAATCGAACCTTCGGAGGTCGACGTGGAAATTTTCGGGATGGGCAAATGTGAGAAGCGTTTGCCTCTCTGCTTGCCAACTCGCTTGCCTCCCGCTTGCTTGCTTGGTAGGCAGGCAGCGTTGGTTGGTTCGGTTCTCTTTCGTTTTTCGTGCTAATGCCAAATTTTACGATGCCTTTGTGTATTTTAAGGGCCTCCCTGGCGGACTCGTAGCGCCGCCTGGCCGTTCGAGCTCCAACTAAATTTGGCTTGTTAGAAATTCGGAACCATGCTGCTGCCGCCTGTTTGCTGCTGCGGCTGCGGCGGCCTCCACTGCCGCTGCCTATGGTCTCTGCGATGACTACGACGGCGAAGCTGAGCGCGAAAGAAAAAGGAGAGCCATGGGGATTAAAATAAACAGGATTTGGCCCTCGCTTCCCTCTAGCTCCGTTTTATTCCTCCGGCTGCGCGGCTCGCAAGCCAGCATTGTCTCAACCCGTCGTCGTCGTCGAAGCAGTTCGACTCGATCTCACACGCTGCGAGCCTACGAGTCTGGACCGCTTCCGCCAACGGAGAAAGGAAGGAAAGCCGATCGGCCAAGATGGCGATTGATTAAGTTTGCACTTGGCTTCACTTCCCCTCGTTTCCTCATTTTCCGCCTCGTAACGGCAGCCCGCACGATTCTGAGAACGGACTGACGATCGGTCGGTCAGTCGGTCCCTCTTCCCGGACTTCTCAAGGAAACCACGGCGGATTCCTCATACGTGCCTCGGGACGTTTTCGCTCTTGGGGGGATTTTCACCTGAATTGTCATTAATTCGTTCTTATGACGACTTCTACGGCGGGACTGCGTTTCACTCGCGGCATCTTATCGGATAATTTGCCGTATTTCTGTTCCGAAACTGTGGGCCACGACTCGGTCTTCCAAGACGACTCGAAGTTTCCGTCCGGTGAGAGAAGAAGCCAGGCCATAAAACATAAAGATTACGGCGACGATTCAAGTCTCGAACGCCTCCTTTCCCCTTCGGCCTCCTTGCCGTCGTCGTTGCGTACCGCTCACCTCTTCTTTGCCCGTTCCCGTGCGGAAAACACCGTTTTTTCCCTATCGGGCGTTGCAGCTCCTCTGTCCACCGACGGAGTCTCCAAGGCAGTAACGTTTTTACACAAAGTCAAACGCTTGCATATTCCTGCATATATGAATTTATGGCTGGAGCCATAATTATTATCATCATCATCATTATCATGTACTCATGTCGAGAAGCTCTCAGTTGACGCGATGTTGCCGTGACGCCGCGGTGAATTAATCACCGGAATTTATCACCCGGGGTCGTTCCGTATCCGATTTAGCGCGAGCTGGTCGGCATTGTTAGCAGGCTTTCGCGGAGTCACACGAGAACACATATAATCCACGTAATCATCCCGACAATTTCTGCCTGGAATGTGAGCAGCTGCTTTCGAAAAGTCTTGTGTTTAGGCTTTACCGGGCGAAGTTTTTTTGGTTCATCGTCCTGAACTTTACTTATCAAGCGGCACTCCACATCCGAATGCAGAGACTCCCAGCTTGCGCGTTCGAGGAAAAAATATCTTTGTGAGTTTTCTCGGATACCCCCTGACCCGGCTCGGAAAAGGAGATACCCCGCATCGAAAACGTCGACGTACCCGTGGGCGTATTCAAGCGAGCGTCTGAAGAAGCGGCGTCTTTTCATTCGTGGATTCTCAAGTTGACAGAGCGAGAAACTTTCTGGGAAGCCGCTGACGTCGTGGAACACTTTGTTGTCCTCACCTTTGTTTCCACTGCCCTTGATTGGGTGGTTGCCTCGTGCGAAATCGAGATCTGACCCCTCGGAGCTCCGCAAGAGGATTCCGAGCGACGACGCAGAATCCGAACGGCGACTCTACGCTTCATCCTGCGGACCGAACGCGAAAAGACTCGGCGATGGTCCTTTTCTCAGTGAATTATAATCATTCTTCTCGGCCAGGGGAGCTGCTTCCCCGCACACCGCTGACATGTGCTCCGTTAAAATATTTGAAACCTTGAGCTACGTCTCCATAAAATCTTTTGCGATAGATATACGTTAGATCTATAGTTAAAAATATTCTCTTGCAGTGCAGACTGTTCCATCACTGACGAGCTTCGTTCTTCCTTGCAGGCTTCCATTTGTCCGGCGTCATCGCGCCCAAATCTACGCTGCACGTAGGAGCCAGTAGTGGATACGATGGGCCCGAAAAACGCTACCGTATTTCGATATCATTCGATCGATGCAAAATTACGGCTGTCACGTGCACTTGCGATTCCCACGATATATTCTGGTGTCAGCATGTCGTGGCGCTGGCCATATACCGAATACGAAACGCAGAAACTGTCAAACTCCGAGTGCCAATTTCCGGTAAGCATCCTGAGCATTTTTGTTGGTCCAATTCATCTCACGAAAAATCTCTAGATTGAGGTGCCTCTATCGAGTATTCGCCCCCTTGCGACGGTAACGTCCTTCCTGCTTGGCAGAAATGTAACTCAACGCTCTCGGCGATTCCTCGAGTTGGATTTTCGTAAAATCAATCCGATTCGTGACCCCGTGAAATTCGAGGATCGGACGATTCCCTTGTGTGACCCTCGGATTTAAATCCAACAGTCTTTTCAAGCTGTTGCGTGGTCAGGAATTCGTGGGCGTTCGAAGTGCTTCTTGAGAATGTTTTCGAAATTCACTGCTCGTTCGTAGAAGGAAGATATTATACTCCTGAAGAACCGTGGCGTCGCATGCTTGTACATTCGATCATGTACTTTATCGCTCATTGTTTCGAGCCTTGAGGTTTCGATGCCTCTGCTCGACTCATGCAGTTCGCGTGACGTAATAGACGCCTCAAGTATCTCGAGAGAGGAGCTCTGCGTTGACTGAGTGAGTCGAAATAATGAAGCTAGCTCGAGGCGGAGAAGATAGTGTCGATCGTTCGCATAAGCGAGTGCACCGACGGAAGGAGCACACAAAGGGTTTGGTCAGAAGTTTCCTGTCGATGCCATGCCGTCGCGCCGATGGTGACGGCAGGTATTTTATTTTTCTGAATCGAATGAACAAGTTCCATTGTGCGCTGCGCCGTTGTGCTCGGTGAAAGCAGGTTCTCGTTGATTTCGTGTTATTGGTTGAGATTCTCTGTATACAGCGAGCAGCAACACAATAACATTATCTGGCAATTCATTTCACACAGTGGTCATTTCACACGGACAAAAGTTGAAGAAAAAAGAACCTACGGCTCCGGCCGGGCTACGTGCTCCATAGTCGTGTGTGACTCCCTACGCTGCTTTCTCTCGTTCCGATTTTCCTCAGCTCGTTCTCTTCTTCCCTCGATCGTGAAATCACTGGCGACCCTCGAATGCAGCCTTCGTCTCGCTTGGTACCCTCAGTGAGAATCATGTCGAATCGAGTTGTGGATCCGCCATGATCTAACGAATTACGCGCCAGCGAACACTTTCGCTGACTCGATGCGAAGTAATGACGTTCATCAGCGAACCTCCGTGTGGGCAAAGCATATTTCGGCAGATGAGGATATTGAGACGAATTTCGTTTCTGTTTTCAGAAACGCTTCTGCAAATGTCGCGAGAGCAATTGCAGAAAATGCTCCAGTACCTGATTGCCGAGCACCATACAGCTGTTTTGCCTTCAGCCCAACGTCTGGCGGACGAGCTCCGACAGAATCACAGCGTCATCAACCAGATTTCAGGCGCTCCGGATCCGACCGCAGGTGGAGCAGCCGACGATGAGAACGCGTGGCACCTCGACGAGAGCCAAGTCTCCGAGCAAGTTCGGACCTATCTCAATCAAGGAGGGCATTACCAGTACGTATACAATAACGCGATACGCTCTCTCCGCTGTGTTCTACGCGAGAGGGGAACGAGTACCTTGATAATATTAGGGCCGTGTGGTAATTTCATTGGAGCCACCATTTTTGCAGTGCCTCCTCGAGACCTCTTGGAGCGCTCTTCGGAAAAGTGAAGGAAATGCTCCGGGCTCGGGACGGTAACGGAGCTCGAATGCTGCGTTTGATCACCGAACAATTCCTCGACGATCCTCGCTTGGTGATCTGGAGGGCTCAGGGTACGCCGATGACGGACAAATGCAGACAGCTCTGGGATCAGCTGGGCGCCCTTTGGGTGAGTATAAGTCAATATGAGTCGTCCCGATAATCGTCCTACGACAAGAATCGATTATTTGAGATCTCCATCGGCCAGAACTTTCCGAGACAGAATATCATGAATACGCGTTTCCTTCCCTCCTCTCAGGTCTGCATCGTCCTAAATCCCCACTGTACGGCCCACGAGAAAGCCCAGTGGCGGGAGTATCTGATGAAATGGTCGGACTCGTGTCTGTGTCCGTTGGAAGACGCCGACTTCCGACCCCCATCCCATCATCACCACCATCATCATCACAACCCACACAATCGGCACCTGATGGGGGGTAACGGAGCCAACAACAACAACAACGCGTTACAACAACACCCACAAGCTCACCCAGGACTGAATCGAAGACACAATGTTGTGAATCATCCCATGGAGGAGGTATCGGAAGAATCTTCAAGCTCTGAAGAAGACGAGGACGAGGTCGCCCGTTTCAACCCGGCCTACAGAGAACGCGAACGTCGACGGACAAGCGACAGGAAATACTACCAGCCCCGTTCGATATTCCATCGAGCCCTCGAATCGTGGGGCCTTTCGTGGGAGGACCCCCATCTGCGTTACATATTGGCGCACGACGGAGCCGATGACGACTTTCTCCGACAATATAGATATCCTCTGCCGGGCAGTTCATCATCCGTCTCTCTACCTATGTCGTACAAGCTGGAGAAATTCAACACGCAAGGCTATCCCCTCTGGCACGAGCACACACCGACTGCGTGTTCTCGAGTCGAGGCGCTACGCTCCCACGGCTACCGACAGGAATCACTCCGATTGGCCGTTGCGATCGTACGGACGTGGAAGCGTCAACAGACCGAATGGAAACGATGGCAAAACTCCTCGCCGAGCCGTTCATCGTCGAAGACCTCGTTGCCAAACAACGCCGAAGGCTGGATCGGGCACTCGTTGAACCCTGTGGGCTCCCTGTTCGACACACTTGCCGAAGCGTCGCTGATCTCCGAGAGCAAACACGGCCTCGAGTATTTTTACGAGTCGTTGTACACAATAGGGACGCCGTCTTCCCAGAATAACTCGAATCAGCCACCAGCGACACAAGGCCAGCAAGCAGGCAACGAACAGCAGCCGCCTCAGCAACAACCCCCGCAGCCGCAACCACCGCAGGTTCCCCCACAGCCCCAACAACAACCACCGGCGAACAACAACAACAATAATAACAACAACAACAACAATAATATTAATGTTAATTTGATCAACGGGCTCGTGGTGGAGGGCTTGAACTTGAATCATCCGGTCCCGTTGCCTCCGGCCATGCAGTCGGCGGTGCAACAGGCGGCGATGCCCCCACCGCAGGCTCCACCTCGTGAGAAGCCCCGCTATCATCATGTTCACGTGCCTGGTAGTATGGATCCGCAGGAAAGCTACCTCAGTCTCGCCGTCGAGGCTGCTCTGATCGGTTTGGGCCAACAACGCTGCATGCCGTTGGGAGTTTATGCTCAGGAGAAGGCAGCCAAACAGGAGGAGAACATGATCACCAAACTCCAGGATATCGAAAGTGATCTTGTGCTCATCTCAGTGCTGAGGAGGCAGGCCAGCTTACTCCTAGAGTGCGGGCCCTTCTCCGGATTGGGATCGCACATACATCCTGAGAGTGTTCCTATGCATAAATTCGCGCACTATATTTTCAATGCGCTCCTCCATCACGATCCTGACCTCGCCTATGCCGTTGGTCTCCGTGCAATGAGACTGCCTATCCTAGAGGATCAGGTCGAACCTGACGATCCAGGAAACAATAGTGTCAATAATCAACAAGCTCCAAACAACAATAATAATGTTAACAATAATTACAACAACAACAACAACAATGGCCAAGGTGCGAATGTCGCCGCACCAGGTGCGGGCCCCGGGGCCCCCATGCACCTCCATAATAGGTACCCTCGCTGGATCACGCTCCCGAATATCGAAGGACAACAATGCGCACTCGCGTCGACGATGCTGTCGGCGGCAAAGAGTAAGTTACCGTGAGGCCTATTTCTTCGAAGAGATTCAATTCGAGGAGAAGTTCCCATGCACAAACTGAAATATTATTGAAATATGTTTATGAATTAATTATTCCGAAGCTCCCGATGGAGTTTCTTCTCGATATTCAGCAATCGATGCTCGGTCGAGCTCAACGACTCTTCCCGCCGCCTCGTGGCCTTCGTACATCGCCTGATAGAGTTCTTTGATTTTTCAGATGATGTCATGAGGCTACGAACGGTATTGAAAGCGGCGCAGAGAAACATTCACAGCTCTGTGCAGTTGTTCAAGCTCGCTCAAGACGCCTTCCGTGTCGCGGTCCCGCAACCACCGGAGGGACCCGTACCGAACACCCCGATGGGCCAAACTCTCCCCACGAGACATTTGGCGCTCCTGAACGTCTCCTTCGAACTCGGTCTGCAGGTATTGCGCGTCACGTTGAACGTGACGAATTGGCGACGACGCGACATGGTCCGCTGGCTAGTCACATGCGCCACTGAAATCGGCCTGGATGCGCTCATTTCGATTCTGGTGAAATGGAATCAACTGTTTGCGCCTCTGGAAGCGACGAAAGACGTGGCCTCGATCGTCATGAACCATCAGACGATCATGCGACTCGGTCTGGATCACCAACAACAAGAAGAACTGTCGTCGTGCGCTCGCACGCTGGCCCTGCAGTGCGCCTCGAAAGACCCACCGAGTTGCGCGCTGAGTGCTCTGCAGTTATGCGAGAACGACAGGGCTTCGTTCGAGCAGGCCTACAACGTCGTTGTCGACGCCGCAGCAACGGGATTCATGGCCAGCCAACAGCTTTTCAGCGTGGCTCGCTACATGGAGCATCGTGGTTACGCGAACCGCGCCTACAAACTCGGTATGCTAGGCATGAAAGGAGTGCACATCCAATACAATCAGGATTCGCACCTCGAGATCGGGAACATTCATTGGGCTTGCGCCCTGGCGCATTCGCTCGGCCGGACCGAGCTGGCGAACTTGGTTCCGCTGCTGGTGAAAAACGTTCAATGCGCAACGGTTCTGTCAGACATTCTGAGACGTTGCTCGATTGCCACGCCGTCCATCGCTCACTTGGATGCGGCCAAACGTCGCTGCGTGAAGCCTCTTTCGTTGGATAGGCCTCCGTTAAGACCTCTACTCGAGGCTGCTATCTCTGCGTACGTCAACACAACGCACTCGCGGCTAACGCACATCTCGCCGCGTCATTACGGCGACTTCATCGATTTCCTTTCGAAGGCCCGAGAAACGTTTATGTTGGCGCATGACGGACACTTGCAATTCAATCGACTCATTGAGAACATGAAACTCGCCTACAAAGGCAAAAAGAAACTCATGTTCCTCGTCAAAGAGAGATTCGGATAAAGCGATGCGATGGCATTTTCCGAGACCGATGGCCGGCGATTCGGGCTGCGAGTCGATGCTGCTCAATTAACTTTGATGCAGATCAATCAACGACTACGGCAGAAATTTACGTTCTGCAGTATTTACGGGAGCGTGATCCGATGCGGCGGGGCATGATCTTGCGGATCATCCACGCTCGCGAACCACCTAGCAAGTCAACCAACGAAGTGACCCACCTTTTCAACTGACATGTTTGCCCCATCCGCTGACGGCCATGGAGTGCAGACAACTTTTCATGTGACGACACTATTGAACAAACAGACGAACGAACGGACGGACAGACAGACAAACGAGAATCTTATGGCCAAATCGGAGCATTGCCAAAGAGAATCATAAACAACAGAGCTGTATATAGAAATGTACATTGGAGAATTCTAGGCGTGCGTGCATGCAACCAACCAAGCGAGCGATGAGCCCTACAACCCAATCCATACCAACAAAATCAACCGACAATAACTAGACATAATGATAAGGATATTAGGTGTAGCGAACCGGGCGAAGCAAACGACCTTCAGGTTCATCGATTTATTATTGACATTTTAGCAGTCGAGGTGATGATCGGATAGTTCGCGACTCGCGACGGCCACGTGTTGATGACGAACTTTTACAATTTTGGTCGAACTCACCATACTCTGCACAGATCGGGGAAGCCGGAACGAAAGAAAACTGACGATACAAGCGGTCGCCAACGAAATGGTATGACACGCCATATTAGGGAGCAGTCGGGTCGCAAGCATTTGACTGTCGAACAATAACGGCGCGGAATAATGATTATGATAAAGTCGAGGTACGGATGCAAACTAGAACGGAAAAGAAATCCAGAAGACATCTGGCAAGCAAACAAACAACATCACAACGTGAGTGTGAAATGAACTAATCACTGTCGTAGGATTTTCAAAGTATCTCTGGAGGCGGGTCGACGACGAAATATTGACGCGACGATTGGAGACCCACACGAGACAATTTATTCCCCGGTTGACGTTCAATTCGAGATTTGAACACGCTCATCGATGGAAGACGTAGGACGGTACCGAATCACGTTCTCATTGTTCCCTAGTCGTCTTTTTAGCTTAAAGCTGCTACATCTCAAGAAGCTAGCATTAGCTCCAAGTTTCCATTTTTGAAAGCGGAACGAAGGTGTGCAAAGCTCTGTCGTCCACTACGGACCCGATCCTTGTCGGGTCGGGGGATCGGGACTGATCGCGATCGAATCACGTGAGCTCGCTCGATGCTGGATAGCGAGCTCGCGACAGATTCCCGTAGAGGCCTCGGGGTTGGGACGCGTTCGCGCCTTCGCCATCGCCGCCCCTCCTTCTCGTTTGAGCCCCGTGCGTGCGTTGTGTTAGCGACTCGTTGGCGTTTTTTTCTAACCGAAAGATCTCCCAATTCATCTGTGATAGCACGCCACGACGAGTCGCGAAACCCGACGGCGGCACACATCGTCTTATTACGCGTAATCGGTACCGGCTTCGCTCTCATCAATCTAGTCTCGATGTCTCCAACGAAATATTTCCGTCATCAGCCTCGGACTGTTGCTAACAGCTGATCCCCAAGCGTCTATGCCAGTCGGTGAACATGACCGCTGTCGCGGTACTGAATTGAACTTCCCACCGACCGGAAGAACTCGGTACCGCGCAACGTCCAGGCAGCCCAAATGCGCGACTGGGATTCGGCGACGCAATATATTCTTCTCAAGAAAGTGTGAAAAAGCAATTTCTCCATCGAGACCTCCAAGGTCTTCATGATCGTGTGCAAGCTGAGAGGCATTTCTTGACATGTGTCAAAATTTTTTCCCTTGTTTTCTAGACCCAAAAATGGTTTCACGAATCAACACATACACTCACTCGACGAAAGCGTTCGGATGGATGCGATCGTTTCGTGGAATGAATACAAAAACCTACAAGGCGTTTAGAAGATTTAGATAAGGATCGATGAATTTATACTACCACCTCCACTACTACAACAACAACAACCACCACTACTACGGAACAGATTATGATTAAGGAAACGATGAAGATTCAAGCGACGTAAGAAACAGAAAAGAGACAAAAGAGCCGCAGAAAAAATGAAGAGGAGACGAGGGAGTAGTGCAGGCGAGGAGCAGTGTATTTATTTTTTTCGTGTACATAAAACTCTAGATAAAGCGACGAAAACAGACGCGAATCGAATGTGGAAACATGAGTCGACGAAATACGGGGAAAGGGACAGAACGCGGAGTCCTCTTCCAACGCTAAAGGAAACTCCCCCGACGATAGATGTGCCCGTCGAGATCACAAGGCAGTCTTCGGAAGTCATTCCACCCTCTTCTGGCATTATCCTTCTGTTGATGACGGCACTGGAGCCCGAACAAAGCAACCTTGGAACGGCCGCAATCAGAGATTTCAATTTTTCTCCATTCGACCCTTCAATCCCCTGTTTATTTGCCGTCTGGCAGACTCGAAAGCCGCATCTGCTGGTTCTCCAAAAAAAAGGCTCACTCAGCAAGGGCACAGAATCCCGTACGTTCTCTCGGGATCTCTTTGAGCTCGATTACATCAAGGGGGAAGCGAAATATCGGATCGAACTTTATCAAGGGAAATCGTATCGTCGCCGCACCTGGCGTTTCCGATCGATTCTCTGTACTTCTACTCCGATGGATTCTACGAAATTCACATTCTTTCGTTCTGGAATCATCGAGCCGAGTTTCGGGAGAAGCGACCCGCGAAACGGGATATCATCAACAGGAACTTTATGGGCATCAGCAGAGCTGGGCGGAGATCGAATCTCTGTTACCTGGTCGAGCGAAATCGGATGAACCTTGAATCTGACATGAGGTTCTGCGGGTATGCTTGAGATTCTGGAGAAGAATGCGTGCGTGCGTGCGAGAGAACGAGCGAGCGAGCCTGTTTCCAGATAGAAGTCCGTGCGCGAATCCCACTGTGTGTATCTTGAGTTATGTATATTGTGAGAGGGAATGAAGAATCGGACGTGCTGCCCGAGACCGACCAACCAAGCGAGGAAGCCAGCAATGTAAAAACGAACACGAGTTTATTCGATGACGAGAAGCGCCCTCCCGCCAACCCCCTCCATTGCTCCTCTCCCCATTGACTTTAGAGTGCAGATATTCCGTTGAGCATTATGATGCATTATTGGTAGTACTTCTATGATCGTATTCCCCTGAATTCTTTTCATTTCATTATCATCAGAGGAATGATCGCGCGCCTTAAATCAATTGGACGGAGCTAAGTTTTGTACACTAGCCAAGTTAGTCTTCGTGGAGAAGCTTATGTTACCTCTTAGGTACCGAATGGATAATGAAGATACGAAGAAAGAACAACGGGACTGAATGAATAATAAAAACGGAGGAGAAAACATCAAAAAACTAATCCTATGTGTTTTCTTTGGGAGGGGAATGCGTTTCAGGATATCGGTTTCGTAGCCCGCAGACGCGCTCTCTCCCGTCGCGAGTAGAACACATGAGAGGGCCAGACTCTCTTTCAGATAACCAAGCGAATCTCGTCATCTGGAGCGAATCTCGATTCTTTGAATATGAGCAACTCGTTCCCTTTCCTTTATCAGAGGAGTAGCGGACGCCCATGGTTCCCAAAGCGGATTTCTCGAATTCCAAGCCGAAACCTCGACTTCATGCCCCCTCGAGTCTTACAAACCCTCTACCTAATCTGTCATCTTACGCTCTGCATATCGATGGCTGCCGGGGAGGACTTTCATTCAATGAGACTGAAAAGAATGGAGAGGCTCCTTTGCCCGGGGGCTCTAGCCCCACCGCTCTTGCTCCACCATGGAGTCCAAAGCTGGCTTCATCTGAGCTGGATACCGTATAACCTCCATTCGGAGACCATGCTGTGATTAATGAGCATGCTCTATTTGATGAGCATTCTCTGGGAGATCTGATTCAGGCACGCATGCCGCAATCAATGAGCTCTCTTCCAAACCTCTATTCGACGGGCACTAAATACGGTATGAACGAGCTTCCAGACGTAGATGATGCGTAAGCGAATGTGATTTTCAGAGAATCATAGTACGGTAACTTTACATTATAAGAGGCAGGCAAGTATTCGTTTGTACCGTCTTGAAGCTACAATTCCGACTTTTCCTTGCGTCCCAATCGACAGATCATCCAATCCGAACGAGCATGCTCCCACGACCGGCGTTCCCATTTGACAGGCACCCATACGGGCCCTGGACAATTATATTATCGGGCATGCCCTCCTATCAGCGGGAATCCAGTATACCATATTGCTCGCAGTCAGATCGAAATGAGCTTGCTGCACACGCCGTCGACCGACTAGATTTGTGGGATACCCCCGCATTTCTACGATTAGCCACATAAAGAAATGCCGGATCTTGAACATCAACTTCTTTTAGAAAAATCGACTGTCAACGTACGATTGAATTTGGAGTTCCGTCGAAGTTCAGACGGGAGTCCTCAACAGTCTCAGAAACTCCCCGGGTCGACCGGGCCCTCGACGAGGCCATCAGATCCGCAGTTAGTTCCTAGGTATTCGTAGCTTATGAGATGTTCTGGTGGAATCGCGGGCGAACTCCGTAGGGAGGCCCTGCGATGGAGGGGAGTGAATATCTGGCTTCATAGAAGTTCTCGAGCAGGGAGCCATTCTCAAAGAGAGATTCTCGAAATCATCCTCTGCCGACGGCTGTAGACATCTTCAGTGCATCCAATGGAGGAGAATTTCCCGCCCAAATAGACCTTGCGGAGGCCGATCTGCAAGTTCTTCTTGATGAGAAATCGCAAAAAATCCTCGCGATCGATACGCCGAGAGGTCTCCTCCATGTCAAGCGCTTGCCCTTCGGTATCAAAAGCGCGCCGAGCATTTTCGAAAGGATCATGGACAAGCTCATCGCTGGCCTGGATGGAGCCATCGTGTATCTTGACGACATTGTCGTATCAGGAAACTCCAAGGAGCGACATTATCGGAGTCTGACGGCAGTGATGGAAAGGCTTCAACAAGCCGGTTCCCGTGTCCGCCTCGAAGAATGTAGTTTTCTTCAAATACGAATCAAATATCTTGGTTTCACTTTCAGCGAGCAAGGGAGGAGACCGGATCCGGCAAAAATCAGTCCCATCGTAGGAAAGCCGGCGCCGAGAGATCTGGCGGAGCTTCGGGAATTTCCGGGAATGCTGATCTTTCACGCGGCTCCCAGACCGGAGATGAAAGACTTGAAGTTCCCTCCAGTCGATCCCTCCAGTCGATCCGAAGAAAGATTTGAAATGGGACCCCCGAATGTGAGAAAACATTCCAGAGAGCCAAGAGCATCCTGACATCAGAGCTCTCCTTGATGCACTTGAACCCGAGTCTACCGATAATTTTCTCGGCGAATACCTCGCAAAAAGGAATAGGAGGGGTTCTGATGCACGAGTGTGAAAACGGAGCGAAGAAGGCCGTTCTCGATGTCGCCCGAGCGCTCCGTCGGACGGAGCAGCGGTACAGTCGAATAGAGATGGAAGCCCCCGCTCTGCTTTATGCAGTCCGATATGACATGCGTTAGACAGAGCTCGTGGCCGAAATTCGTCAGGGAAAATTCGCTGTTCCCGTTGTACGCTCGCCGGGACAGCCTGTCGATAGTGAACGAGTGGCTGATGATGTCGAGTGGTGGTCCCAAGCACCTTGGAATGTCGAATATGAGGGCGCTCGCGCGAAGTTATGTGTATTGGCCAGGCATTGACACAGGCATCGGAAGTATGGCCAGAAAATGCGAGGATTTCCAGTTGGCGGGCAAACTCCCTCTGGAGGTCCCTCTCGCCAGCTGAAAACCCAGCGGCAAATGGTCCAGGATCCACTCAGACATCGCTGGTCCGGTTGGAGATAACTACTTTCTGGTCGTCGTCGATTCGTGTTCAAAGTGGCCGGAGGTGATAGTGTTCAAGCAGATCTCGGCCGACGGAATCCTGGACGCGTTCGACGAGATATTCGCGAGGTTCGGAAGCCGGAACTGCTGGTCACAGATAACGGCGCACAGTTTAAATCAACTAAGGATCATGACTTTTATCAAGAACGAGGAATCCGAGAAATCTTCAGTTTCCCGTACCATCCTTCCTCGAATGGTTCGTCGACACTCTCAAACGCTCCTTGGAGAAGTTTCAAGGGGCGGGAACGGTCGCACAAAAACTTCAGAAGTTCCTGTCGGCCTATCGCGATACGCCCAGCGCGGCGTGCCTTGGGGAGAAGTCCCCGGCGGAAGTTCTTCTCGGACTCGAGCCCAGGACGCCCCTTCAAGTGCTTATGCCCGATCCGAAACCGGAGAACAAGCTGGAGATTCCGGAGCCGACTCGCCATCATGCGAGAATGAAAGCCGACCTTGACAAGCATCACGGAACGAAATTGCGACTGTATAAATTAGAAATTAGAAGACAACGCCTCTTGAAACATGTGTCAGCGCGATCGACGCCAATGGACGCCGGACGTCGTTGTCGGAGTTCGCGGGAGTTCGTTGTACGATGTGCTCGTGGACGGCAAGGTCCATCGGCAAGGTCACGCTAATCAGCTGAATCCCCGCTGCCCCACAGAAGAAACGCGGCCGCTGGTTCCCTGGGAAGATCTCGGATTGCAGTTGGCGCTATCCCTGCCGTGCTTCCCAGAGTTGGAGAAGAAGTCGCCTATCCGCTCGAGCGGAGGCATCGATTGTGGAACGGACGGCGCAGGCCGCGATGCCGGGCTTGCGGTCGAGTGTACCCCTGTATAGAGACAGGAGTAGATATTTATCAGGATCCTCTGCGGCGAACTCCATGAGTATCCGCTACGCCTCCCCGCTCTGATCGCATTCATCAGATTCTCTCCCTGAAGCCCTCTAGATCTTGTCCTATCCTTCTTTTCGCGGGACCCGGAATGAAACTGCATGTTCAAACCGTGCCACAGCGCCTCACGGTACTGTCAGAGTCGCAAACCCACCGAAAACCTGATGAGCCCCCAACGTCCGCCTCCGGACGGCACGCCGCTCTCATGGACGGAGCTGAGTCAGCAATACTTCGAACCTTCCGAGAGCGGGCGCCCCTTTCAGCGCCCCCATTGAGGCCTCTGTACCTATGATCGTGTGCTGTGATGTTCCGTCGTCGGTGATGATTGTTGGGCACCATCGTGGATGGTAAACGTGTGATCCTATTCCAGAGGAGGCTAACGTGTTCCCGCCAGGTGGGCTTCCCCCAGATCATTCTTTGAGAAGCCAAGTCACAGCGATGGGGGCAGCGGGGCCCTCAAGATATCCCCGAGGAGCTCCGAGGCTCTCGAAGCGGCTGGATGCCGACGAGCGGTCGCAAGGAATTGTCGGAGTTTGTCGGCGCGAAAATCGATTTATCGGGGCTGTGGTGACAAGGTCTCCCTGGCTGGCTTCGCCATCCCATGAGCTCATTGATGGCGCACGTTTGCCGGTGACAACAGGGGGAAAAACGCTATAGACATAATGTGCTCAATTCGCTTTATTCGGAACAAACGGGCTTAGAAACATGCTTGGGGAGCACCGCTCCTGAGCTTGATCACAGACCTGTAGTCATTGAATAATTCCCTCCCTTAAATCTAGAAATCGGAATCAAAATATACTTGTCGTAGGAAAATACTTCATCCCTCGTGGGCACATTGCGCATCGCATGGTGGAAACAAGTGTCGACTTCATCCTTGGAAATTCTTTTACACTGTCCCTCTACAATTTGACGTGGGAGCCGCACAAAGCGTAATCACAACTTTGATCTCATTTGTCCCATGAGACGGTCCAGCTTCATTGCGACTGGCAAATCACCTTTCAAGCTAAGTTTGCCACCCATGAAGGCGTTGGTGGGGTTGAGTTTTCCGGTGAACATTTGCATGAACGTCGTTTTGTCCATCGTCAATGTGACGTCGGGATTGCCGCTGGGGGGCTTTCCCTTACCGCAAGATCCAGAACCGTTCTTCAAATCCACGTAGAACGGTTCGGGTTCACCTGTTCCAAGAAGACAACTCTTTAGTAGCGAATAGCGAAATCATTCGCGGTAAACAATCTCTCTATCGCGATGGAGAGCGGATAGCTAATGATTCACCGGAATCGGAGCGTCCCTCATGACGTACGGCCGCCATAGGCGCTACAGAATCTGCCGGTCATCCTTACCTTTGACATTGAAACAGAAAATGCCTTTGACTTGCTTCACGAGATCCTCATTGATGAAGGCTTCGATGGCTGAGAAAATCCCGTCCACAGTCTCCACACTGGCCAGAGCCGCCGCCATGTTTCCGTTCGTTTCCTGAAAATGAGGCAAAATGAATTCCGCTCGATCCTTCGTCGGCGGCAGTGTCGGATATACCCAGACGCCCGCTTCATTGTCAACGTTTTCTCCCAATCTAAATATCGCTATCTTCTATGGACGTCGAGGGAAACCAGAAGCTGAATGTCACAATCGGAGCTGAATTCTGTCCTTTGGATTTGTATACGGAACCAGTATTTCGAGCGAAAATACTTCGAGGACTTCCAAGACATCTGCCCGTTCGAACGTCTCTATCACGCTCTCTGTCGATGAGGGAATGATACCGCGACGCCGGCTCGCAGGAAAAAATCAACTCGTACATATAAAGGGAAACACTCAGCAGGGAACTTTACCGCGGGGGATGAGTATCTCGAGAAAGATTAACCCACTGATCCAGTCGGCTGCACGAATCCTGTATTTTTCTTGTCGATATGAAAGTCTAGCACAGAATCGAACAATCTTGCCGTCGATCCGTTCTCGCTCTCCATCAAGAGGAAAGGGCAGGGAGTCCGACCGAGTCGAGTTGGAGAGTAAGCGAAAATTTCCTCGTTCGCTCTCTCATGCAATAGCGGAGATACGATCGTGAGGCAACCAGCGTCTGCCGATTACGTCGAACGCATCCAGAAAACATGAACACCGGATTTTCTGTCAAATATCGCTCCGCGGCGATTGGAATTCTGCATGATACTGGTCTCCTCCGGCTTCTGTTATGAGCCCCCGTTTCCGGCCGCTTTCTAGTGGGTGTTATCGGTTGAGAACGTTCGGTCTGATAGTTTTATCCATTGATCGAATCGCTCTAAATTGGCTTCCGCGTAGCCCGGCAGAAATGCCTCGATCCCGATCTATGGCGCCTGAAGCAATGAATAATTCCGCGGTGTCTCTGCCGAAGGGACTTCTATTGTTTGAACTGCTGAAAAGTCGATTCGACGACAGAAGCCTCGCGAATCTGGCAACACAGAGCACAAGCCGAGCAAGGAGGAGAGAAGAAATTCTCCGCAGCCAATATCGAACGCATGAGGAAACTCACAGAACTCGAAGCAGCTGCCGTGTGCTCCTCGACCGGCATTTCCCCCCTCGATTCAGTTCGGGTCGCCATTCCTAAGTATGTCGAGATATCCATTTTCCCTTCACGTGCCGGTCTCTGCAACAGGGATCCATTTAGCTCCAGGTCGAATCGGGCCGGAATCCCTGGCGAGCACGGCACTGCACACACACAGGGTGATCCGGGAAAAACACCTGGGATAACTGACACCAACTCCGCACTGATACCCCTGATTTGGGGTTATTCGACGCACGGAGAATACGGCGAACGTACCTACAGCAGACTCTCGGATAATCGCTAGGTAGCCCGTGGACAACGAATGAAGAGTTGATTTTTTCGGAAGGTCTCCAGAACATTCACTAATCGCCAAGAATCAGAAACAAGTTGCCATGCAAAGCTATTGAGAGTGGACGGAATGAGAATTTCGGCTGACGCCGGCGCCGTGACCAATTTCATCGGGACAAAACGCTGCAGCTCCACCAACCTGTCAGAGTAGCTACGGCCTCCACTCTGGATAGAAAGCGGGATTCGAGCCGAATCTAAGCCATTCTCGACGTTAAAGCGAGAGAAATCATTATCTCTGGACCGAGTGAGTGAGATAAAATTAATCTGCGGCCGCTTTCGATTGATAGTAATGTGAGGCATTCACTCCTCGATCGAGATTGTTTTCTGGGGCATCCTCGCCACGAATCCGTGACGACGTTTCCGAAACGTTTTTGTTTCGGAAACTCGTCATCCCCATCCTTGAGTTTTCCGGCGCCTGAACTCATTGTCAATCTCGGCTGAGCTGACTAGTGGCGGAGAAATACCTACCTGGGATCCCCAAGACTTCCAACGGGGACGAAAAAAATCGTTCTCGAGGAGTATCCACCCTCATGCCCTCTCAAAGTCATCCCCCTACGGAGTCACAACGGGTAGACGCGCTCTCACGAGAGATGAAATAAAACGTAATGAATGACTTCGGAAGGCCATCTGGGAGCGATTGCGTAAGAATAAATCTACCAGGTTTCTGTGTAACAGAAACTGCGAATCTTCGGTTCAACCGGCGGCGCGCCATGCCTCCGACGAGCTCGTCCAGGATGAATTATGTATCGCGCTGCAGATGTTTCTCCGGGAAATAATTCCTCCCTCCTCGCCACTTCCGAACAATCTTGGACACCGGACCTATGAGCGACGGCGATAGATATTTCCCGATGCGAAGCGACGACTTGCGGATCATCCCGATCTTCGCATGTTTATTGACTGATCAACACGGGCGGAGTTCAACGAAGGCTGACGCCGACACGGAGTTTTCTGGTCACTGTTTGGGATCTTCCAAGAGCATTAGGAAGTAGCAAGGCTATAATTATTATTGTCGTAGTAGTAAGGGTTGTCAAGGGCTTCCATCCAGAATAGCACCGCGAGACAACGAGAAGTAGCCCTTGTTGACAACGCCAGTAGCTGGGGGAGGATTCTTTCTAAGTAAGCTATTCCGGCCCTAGTCCGGTTCATGCATCAAGTCTATGCGCTGATTCGTTATCTACGATACGGGAGAAGAAGGTCCGCCTAATTCGAGTCTGAATCAATCGTCAGCCAACGAGCAAAGAGTCGAAGAGAAACTCGGTCGTCCGAGTACAGTGGCGGATCCAGAGGGGGGGGGGCGATAGGCCTTGCCTCCCCCCTGGGATCTCTTCCCGGCCCATAGGGCTCCATGTTGAGGCCCAGCATCAAGGGCGGTGGGCCTCTTCCGAGACAATGGCTCTGGATCCGCCACTGTCCGAGGACGATACGCCGCAGGAGCTCACCCGAGTCTTGAGTAGGGGAATCCAGCTCGGAATCAATCCCGAGAGACGATTAATGAACCTATCTCAGCGATTATCAAGCTCTCGGAAAACGGCTCATGCCGTTCGTATCTTCGCTGTCCGACAGACCAGGGTTTCTAAACTCTTTTGCCCTGCGGAACCCTGGTGGGCTTCCGCGGAACCCATATCGTTGGTTTCGGACTCGTAGGTGGACAGAGGGTTCCGCTCACCAGAGATATTCACACAACGCTACAGGACCGTACCCTGACCGGGCGTCGGACTTCAGAGCGTCGGACTCGACCTAGAGAGACGTCTGGCCATCGAAGAGGATCATCACAATTTCACACCACGCGAAACTTCCTCATCAGCATTGATGGTTCGCAACGGCTAGGGAGGAAAATCGTTGCCGATTGGAAAACACATCACTTACTTTGTGGCTCCTGGAGTGATGGCTGATTGAGTCACAGTGCGAAGTCGTCGTGTCGAGCAACTTGCTGGCTGGCTGGCTGCTCGGTTGGCAAGCGAGCAGTGGTCTCTTTGACGATAAGAGAGAGAACGCTAGACGCTGCCAAGGACGTTCTTGAATGAAGACGCTCGCAACTTATTGTCGGGGACGGTCGGAGCTATTAGACCTTTGCGGTCACCCGAGCGTCGGCACCGCCTCAGTGTTCGCGCATATCAAATGCGGATGCCGAAACATGGGGTCGGGACACCGGATAGAGCTCCTCTACGCGACAGACCCTCAACTGTTCGTTTTCCTATATCCATTTTCTGGCTACAAACTATCGGCGGACGTATCTCCGACTCGAGCGATCCATCGAGCGTCGGAAAGTGTTGCTTATTCGATAAGGAGCTTGGGACAGCTCCGATCGGCACACGAGTCACGAGCGGATCGGCAGCGAGGGCGGAGCTTTCTCGGACTCCTAGGCTCTGTGTGGACTCGAGGGAGAATCCCTCGAGAGAAGGCCGACTCCCCGCACGCGACAGACGGACAGGCCGGAAGACGGCAGCACCGAACGTGAGCCCACAGAGAAAGAGTCTTAAGCGAAAGGTCAAAGGCTGCAGTCTGCTCTGAGCAGCATGTTACGAAAGCGGGTGATGATGGGAGAAGCTTTGGAAGCGCTGCGTCTTCTGGGAGCTTCATCGCGGGATAAACTTCTGCATTCCGGATAGTTTAGCGAAGCGTCCCCGCCTGACCTTCCCAGAAAAGGAGTTTCCGTCTCCGCTCGCTTTCTTGCTGACGATCGGAAGGCAAAATTCAATCGCCGAAGCCTTCCAGTACCGTCGGAGTCAGATGTTTCGGCGACGGCCCCGTCAGCCCAGAGCTGTCCCTCCAAAACCGGCAAATGGCTGATCGGCTGGAGGACCGAAGACGATCTTGATGATGCTCGAAACGAGAAAGATCCTGATGGAACTCCTCCGCCTTTTTGCGTCGCGAGCGCTGCTCGAGAACGGGTGACGCGCTTGAGCATTGCGTGATAAGGAGGAATAAACACCTTTACCGCCTGGAGAGTGTGCCAAGAAACCCGAAAATTGCACGGAAAACCGCTCGTGTACTGAACACCGCTCATGTACAAGATGCTGAAGAAGGATTACTCTGATACACTGTCTGAGTGGGACCGTAATACTCAAAACTACTTGTTCAGCCTGGATGCAAACCCCTAGCTGAGTCAGTAGAGGAAAGTTTCCTCGATTGGATCACCAAAGTAGCTGCGCAGCCAGACAAAGGGATAACTTGCGACCAGCTGTGGTCGAAAGTCCCGGATATCAACTTCGACGAAATATTCCCTGATTACAAGGAAATCACGCACACGAGGAACCCTGGAATCAAATATGATTTGCGAACTTCCCGAGACTTTATCCGCCTAAGGAGAATTTCCGATGCAGATAGTCAAAATATGGAGGATGTTCAATCAACCCCCTCTCATGGCGAGGTCATTTCGTGGTAGCCACTTCCCGCTTCTCGGGGAAACTGTAACCGAACGTGTCGATTTCCCGCAAACGAGACTCCTCCTGTGCTACCCAAGGGAAGTCGTTTTCGAATTTAGGGTTCGAGCTGATGGTTTCTGGCCGAAGAAGGAGAGGAAGGATGAACGTCATGGGGACTTTGAATTTTAAAACTGCTTTATTTGAACGCGGTCGTTGGTATATAATTCAGGAGGAACTCGTGAACTTTGCTTCGTTCCTCGTTCCTGTCTCTCGTTCTCACCTCTCTCTCTTATTGGCACTCGATGGGCCCTAATCGTCTCTTGGCAAGCGGAACGGTTTCACTTCCAAGGCGACGCCTTTCTTCTGCTAATCGTTACTTCAGTCGTTATCTCTTCTGATTCCTCTCCAATTGCTGTCTTTGTTCTTCTTGTCGTCGTTTGCTCGATTTCTCGGAATCGATGCCTTTGTCGTCGAAGTCGCTGCTTGTCTTCACCATCAATAATATTAATAATTATGTGAGTATGTACAGAGCTGAATGTACACATAGAGGCAGTCATGCCATTCTTGGTGAGTTCTTTGATCCAGGATATCAACCGACGCCGTGATTTGGTTAGAGATTCGTCCGGTATAACCGTCCAGGGACGAGAGAGATGGCGAGTCAGACTAATCGAGTAGCTGCTACATGTGAGCACACGCTAATGAGTTGGTGGTCTGTTGAAACATTGTCTGCTCATCGAATCATAACTTTATACACAAATACTTAGAAGAATCGTAATGAGAATTGTATTAAGTAGTACTAGGCGACGGCAATCGTAGTTCGAGTGGTGATCGGAAAAAGATTGTAGCGACTCGTCTCCGCGACCCGCGGAGAGCTGACTGCCAACAGAGTGAGACTAGGCGAAAAGCACCGGGCAATCGATCGATTATTATCATTATTATTATTCGAGCAGCTAATCGGAAGGCGTACAGTGAGAAATAGAAGAAATCGCTCCGCTGGTATCCCGCCCTTGGAATCATCAGAGGCGGGGGGAAACGGACGAACGCCGGAATAGTCGATGGACGATCGTCCCCGGTGTCCTAGCCCGAGCTTCTTAGGGGCTCACGGAAACACCTGAATTTACAATGTATATATCCCCGTTTAGAGGCGTCCCCAAATTGAGAGATGATACTCCGATCGACCGACGAGGGCCTGATTGGCACAGTTATTTGGGTAGAATGAACGATTCTGGAAGTTTTTCCACCCACACCGATTCCGTGTTTTGCCCAGCAGAGCGCGCTTACTCCCCCGAGCTCTGCCTGAATCCGCTGCTTGTTGCTTCTTCAAAACTTCGGACTTGAAGACATGAGATTCGAGCATTATATTTCAGCCTTTCCCGACGTCGTCTGTGCTCGGAAAGGAATTCCGCCTAGCGTACATCTCGAAATGTTTCTCTTATCCGTCTTCTTCTACTTTGACTGGTTGACTCCTGGACAGGTTTCATTTGTTTCGTTTATAGTAGTTCTTCGTTTCAGGAAGAGCGTCAGGCCCGAATGTCAAGCTTGGCCGATGAGTGAATTCGTAAATTACTGCATATCTCTACGGATGTTTCTATGAGATTCAATGGGTCACCACGTAACTTCCGAGATGTCCTTCTCGGCTAATGCTTCAACTGCAGTTGGGCTCCTTCTCACTAGAATAGTAGGTAAGCGGCTTGTGGATGCGAACATCGGGGCAGACTACGGAACTCTGTCCCGACTTACGAAATCGATTAATATGTATACTTCAACGAGTTAACATCATCCGTTTCTATCCGCTTTCATCCGTATCCAGTATTCAGCCATTACTGAGTTCAGGTTCTGTCGATTTCGTCAAACTCCTTGGTCTCCGATCCCCGGTCCACATCGCCACACCGCGTCAGGCTTATTACAGTACTGAGATTACGAGAAATCGCAATCGATCAGGTCCTTTCGGTTAAATTTCATGACTGTGCGACCATGCGCCATCTTCCGGCCCCCACTCTGGCCCCTCTGGATTCAAGCCAATGTCTTCATGTAGTCTCTCACTCCTTTCCGTGATTCAATCAATGCACCAGCCACGACTACCTGGGGAAGAGGAAAAAATTGGAAAATTAATATACGGGGCTCTTAAATGCTTCAATGCGGTCAGTTGTTCGACGCGCGGTCGTGAGCGATCGAGAATCCCATCGGCAACCCTACAGGAAAGATTTCCTACATTTAGAAATCAAATGATCCCCTCGCTCACCAGTCATCGAAATCATAAGTAATATCGTAAGCTCGCCCAGTGCTGATGAATGTTTGAATGTATTCAGATCACATGCGTCGACTGCAGGAACATTGCTTGATCTCTGTGTCAACCTGACTCCTCACACAGCGGCTCAAAGTAGCAGAAACGATTTGATCACGAAGCGTTCGACTCTATGTCGCCTGTCTGGAGGAATGGATGACCGAGGATCTCTTCAGCTGTTGGCCGTTCGGAAGGTGTTCTGCAGAAAAAATGAAAACTCTCGGCATTCCGAATCTCTACAAGACCCCTAGACGATATCGATATTCGCATGTATGTACAGGGAGAGGCAGACGCGGCTCTCGAGCGGCGTACCTATTCAAACACTTCATCGTGATGTCTCTAGCGTGTTGCGAGAGATGCTCGGGCAGTTTGGGATCGGACGTTCCCTGGCCGATCGCGAAAGCTGCAGCCAATGGCGAAAGTTCATACCAGGGCGGTTTCGTCTGGAACATCTCGATCAACGTACAGCCGATCGACCACATATCACTCTTATGGCTGCATTCTTGTTGACAGATCACTTCTGGGGCCATCCAGTATGGGGTGCCGCGTGCCGAAGCTGCTAGACGATCGTGATCGGTCCCCTGCAAATCGAGCAAACGGTCTCAAACCTGGCAAGGATCGGAGCGGGATCTTCCGAGCCCGTGGCTTGGAAGAATTTAATTCACAGCAGGAAAATTTGTCGCGTATATTCTCGAGAGTAACTCACGGAGGGATCGAAGGTGGCGCAACCAAAATCAATGATTTTGATGGTTCCTGTTCCCGGACAGACCATGACATTATTTCCCTTGATATCTCTGTGTATGACGCTCCGAGAGTGGAGATAAGCCACGGCCTGGAACAGCTGTCTCGCGTAGCGTTGAACTACGCTCTCCGGAAAAGCGCCAAACTGAGCGAGATTCGAAGCGAGGGTTCCTCCCGAAACGAACTCGAGAAACAAATTGATGTTCGCTCCGTCCTGCTGAACTCCCAGGAAGCCCACAATGTTCATATGCTTGAGACTCTGGAGGATGTCGACCTCTAATTGCACCGCAGAAAGAACCTCGTCCGTATGCTGTTGCTCTTGTATTTGGAATTGTTTCACCGCGACAAGTTGTCCGGTGCAATTCATCCCGCACCACACGAGTCCGAATGCGCCTTTGCCGATCAGTTTCCCCTTCACCCACGGGAACGGTGGATCCGACGAGAAAGCCGGAATTTCGGGGAAAGATTTCGGTGTGGGCGGTGCCATTTTCGGGTCGGAATGAATACCCTGTGGTTTGGCCGTGGGCCTCAAACTTCCGCCGAGAGGACGACTGTTCAATGCCGTCGAGCCTTTCGCCCGACGGGCGTTGCTCATCGTTTGCGGAGCGTCAATAACTTTGACGTTCGGAGGAATCTGAGAAGCCAGATTCGAAGTTGAGTCCCGCGTCGGATTAATGAAAACGGCTCCTGAGCAATGAGCCGGATCCTTCTGAAGACCGGGAACGGGGCAGACGGGATTTTTCGGGGGCTTCCTAGCGTCCCTCCGTGTCAGGGAGAGGCTGCTCCTTGCGGGCAATTGGGGTACGACGATGTTGTCACCAGAACCGTTGGATCCTATCGTTGCGGAATTCATTGCCATCGGAGGCTGCGGCGACGGCGAAGCTCCGTCGTCGTCATCACTGTATGCCACGTCACCCGATTCACCGGGACTGACTTGGGGCAAATAAACCCAGCTGGCAGAAGACAAATGACTAGCACGATTAGCCCATGGGGGAAGAAACTTTGAAAGTAGGGCTCCCTTGGCAGCAGACGCTGCGGCAGTCGGTTTGAGTATTGACAGTTTCATGGGCTGCTGCACCGGAGGTCTCGAAGGTCGCACGATGGCCGCTCGTTCCTCAGGCTTCGTGTAGAGCGAGTCGTTGTCGCCTTCGTTGGCCGTCCCCATCGAACTCGTGGGAAATTTGTAATAATAGTGACTGTTCGTATCGATTTGACTGTGCCGACCGTGAGTTAAACCTGAAATAGGGAGAATTTCCCTGATTACCAATCACACCAATCAGCTTGTGATATCTTAGATCCGGACTCGATCGTTTCCATGAGATCTTCTTCCCGCTCACAATTAGAGGAGAAACCTCCGGGCTTCAATTTTTTTCTCGGAGAAAATAGCATCGACCGATAAACACTAAATCTGGCTTCGTTAAGTGGTAATAAATAGGTCATGAAGGAACTCAATCCTCCATGACTATAATATCACTTATGTGTGCACTCACTTTCCGCCGTCTCTCTATCGAGTTTCATGCGAGATAGATGCGGTGACGGTTTTTTGGCTCGAGGTCTCGAGACCGAACTGAATCTCGGAGGCAGCTCCGGCTGGACGTCGGCGCCATTCGATTTCTTCGACGCAACCGAATAACACGGTCCGTCCGTGCACTCGTCAGGATCGAGCAGTGGATTGTCGTGTATCGTCAGATGCGCGACTTCCGGTGACGGGTCGAGAACCGAATTCGAGGGCATCGTCGTCTGGTGGTGGTACGCAGCGGAGGGGTCGAGGGTAGCTGCAGAACTCTTTTCCTCCCATTCGGATTCATCAAGGATTTTTTGAACCTGATTCATGAGCTGGATGTCGTCTTCTACAAGACGTCGTCTGAGGTCGTCGGGAGCGACCTCGTGTCCGTCGTATCGTTGGTCTCTGGCCGCTCCCTCAGCTTCGGATAGATTGGGGGGACTTTCGGTTTCTGAGCTGTCGTCTTCCTCCTCTGACTGTTGGAGCATAGACGGGCCGCTCTGTTGAAGGATCAGTTCGGCCAGTTTCTTCTTCTCGGACCGAAGAGACGAATTTTCCGGGGACGCGAGACGGGCTTCGACGGCCCTCCTCAGAACGTTGTACACCTGGAAAAACGCCACCGCGTGTCAGTCATCCGGGAGATGCGTCGCGTTTGCGTGGTGGGGACAGTGCGTCTATGAGAGATACGACTTTGATACGGTGGAGTGCTTTATTTCCCCTCATCGAATACGGGAATACGCTCACATCTTGATTGGCAGCACAACAGAGTGGACTTTTCCCATCGGACGCAAACGTCAAAGAATCGGCATCTCGTTGCAACAGCAGAAGAACCGCCTCCGTATTCCCTGGAATCAAAAATATGCAATTGGTGAATGAGCCCGCATCGGGGGAACCCAAAACAGGATCCGAAGGTACTGGGTGGGGCTGAATATCTCCAAGAATAAGTTTCACGGAAAAAAACGGTCATATCGACTCGAGGCATGGAGTCATGACTACTCGGAGCAGGAATGCCAACTTACCGGCGGAGGCCGCGAGATGCAGCGGAGTGATGCCACCCAGACCAGGGGCACTTGGGTCCGCGCCGTGATCTAGCAGAAGACGGAGTGCTTCAACAGATCCAGACTGCGAGGCAAAGTGCACTGGACAGAAGCCATGTTTGTCCTTCATGTCTTCTGTGGAAACAGGAATCACATTCATTAGGCACACTGAGACATTCGGAAGGGAGGCTTCAAGGCGTTGTCACCGTACTCGTCGTAAACATCATCGATCGCATCAGATTACTATCGGAGGGTTCATTCGACCAGCATCCACCCAGATGCGAGCGGCCACAAACGAAACTCTGCCGGGCAGCGTCAAGATGGACTGGATTTCGCCGCTTTGCTGAATTCCGTCCCGCAGTCGGGAAGCTGTCTGTCTTCGGAAAACTTGGTCCGTCTCGCCAACAACACCGGCCACAATGGTGAGTGGGTTGTGGACGGTGTACGAGTTGATTCAGTCATTCCGAAACAAGTGTGTCATCCATCGTGTTTCACGCAGACTCTTCCCCATCCGAGTCCTCCCTCCGGGAATTCGAAGAGGGGGAGCAACGAAAGCAAAGACAACATTCCTTGGAATGACGGAAAAAAAACAATCCATCGTCACTCCATGCCCGCTCGTCATCGATTTGAGTCGGGAAGTCGCTCACGCAGCGTTGAATCGGCTTTCGGAGAGGAACCATTCAAAGTGTCTTGTTAACAATTTGTCAAAACTGCCACCAAACGGACGGTTGGCATCAACGATGCGTTCGGACGAATACGTTGGCTCAGATCAGAAAGACAAAACGACTTCAAACGATGGTCAGAACGGAACATCCCACGGGAGTGAAAGCCGGCAGCGAGAATAATCTATTGAGCCATGACGGCATGGCATACCGAACGCACGTGAGAGCGAAGCGAGCCTCGAGTTTCCGCCCCGGAGAGACACACAGGCAGACCGACGATCAGACGAACACACGGAGACAGACCGACCGGAGCAAGGCACCGATTGATGGACGCAACGACGGCAAGCGAACGAAGACTCGTCGATCCGAGAGCATTGTGAGTGCAATCGTCGGAAAGAGCTCGTTCGGTCGGGTGGCCCGGGTTCGGCCTTACCACCATCGTCGTTATTTCCGACTCGACAGTTGACGCAGATGTCATGGACCGTTGATAACTGTTTCACTCACCAACTTTCGCTCCGTGGTGGAGCAGCATCGCTATAACGGGAGCCGTGTGCTCACAGCGAGTGTGAGCTGCGTAATGGAGGCAACTCCTGCCTTGACGGTCCTGGTGGTTCACGTCCCGATGTATGAGGCTGAAATCGTCCACAATGAGTCATTTACACCGTTTCCATCGTGGATGCGACTCCTCCCTCCCTGGCCGGAGGATCTCTTTCGAACTCGGCTCGACAGAAATAATTGATGTCGTTCGATCTTTCGACCTTCCGAAGCCTCTCGAGGATGCTTTTTCAAAGTACTCACACTCCGTGTTCCAGCAGAATTTGGATGACGGACAACGGGTCATAGGAGTCGATGACTTGATTTGCATAAAGTTCCGTGAATGTTCCCAGATCCCTACACAGAAGCGTGAGTGGCGTCGAGCCCTCGGCGTTGGTGCAGTTGACGTCGACGCTGGTGGTCGTCTAGGGGGTGGAAATTATTCTCAATGCAGACACGTTCTCTACCTTCTCAAGCAGTTCCTTTGTCGCAGTCGAAAATCCGATATATGTACACCGACGACGCTGGAGCGCGGCGTAGAATTCCGCTATAGGGTTCGGGCAAAAACCGAACGTCTATCTGGGAAAAGCTTCATTGGCAAAATGGGAGAAGGATGAGTCGTACAATACTCGCAAAAATTCAGGAATCCGACTAAGCGACGTCTCACGTCGGAACTTCACGTTTCTCTCGATGTCTTGGACACGGGATGTTCAGAGCGAAGAAGTCTGATGGCAGACGTTGTTCAGCCTGATTTTCGTCCGACGGACGTGCAATCTCTAGCACGGAGAGTCCCTTATTGGTGAACAGTGCAAATGGCCGTTAACATGGCGATTCAGATTTGACAGCGAGACAATCAAGTTCACTTCTAAGGTAAGGTTTTGATCCTATTATAAGTGAGATGGGTGCCCGACTCCCAGATTCCGAGATTTACTTTGATTCATTTTCTATCATCTCTGAGAACACAGTTGTCTTAGAACAGTGAGTGTAATCCCTCTCGTCGTAAGCGACAACAATCAGGCGTAATCCTACGCTGTCTCATAGAATGAGTCTTGACTAGTTTTCCGTCAGAACACTTTTCATGAATTTTCAGCTTGACGTTTTCGATGAACGGCCTCAGCGATCGCAAGACGCCCGTCGTTGTTAATTGGGCCCGTTTTGCATGACTTCATCAGCCGAAAGTTCCTCGCATTGAGGCGGAAGTTCCCGTCGGGGCAATGAAACTCACCAGAAGTCGGAGAACTTGCTCCTTGTTCCCGCTCCAGGCCGCGAGCAGTAAACGCTTCTCGTCGCTTTTGACGCCTGCACAGTCGACTATGTCCGGTGATCGGAGCACGTACTGCACAAGCGACGGCGTGAGTGAATCCAAACAGTTTTGACCGGTGTAATTGTGGAGTGTGGGGTCGGCTCCTGCTTCTAGCAATGCTGCTATGGCCTGTGGACACGGAGGAAAAAAACGCCGGTCAGTCACTCAAACACGGACAAGGGGAAAAAATTAGATATTTTGCTCGAGGGACAGAAGAGAGGAAAGACGAGCTGGAGCGTCTTCCCCTGATGCGCCCTCGCTGCTCCGGAGAGTGATGGCTTGCAATTTGCCGTTGTTATTGCGTTTCTGAATAAAGGACCTCGTTGAAGGCGCAAGCCTCCCGCGGAATAGCTTCCATCACGACATCTCTAACCCGCCACATATCCCTTCTCGTTCCCATTCTACTCCTCGAGCAGACCTAATAATACCCCTTGATGCTCCATTCCGAGAAAATTTCGACTCCTCCGTCCGGGCATTCTCGGGCTGCCCCTGGCAAGATCATCGCAAACATTAACGACCTGCCAACGCTGTGAGCAATATTTCGAGAATGAGCCAAATCGGCGAGCTCCCGGCTGGTATTCATGGACCCATGCAAGATAGAATAGTTCATCGTTTCGGAGTCACCGTCCTGTCCGAAGTCGTTTACTATACGCTAGCTGTGGACGATCGTGCCGGGATTAAGATGCCCTGACCGAGCCCTCCCCATAACGATGATCGCTGCACGTCAACGTTCACGTGGACTTTTCTCGTTGATTGGGTGTGTCATGCTGGCGTCCGTTCGAGTCATCTATCGAGCAAGCAACCGACCGAACGGAAGAACCAGCGAGCGAGCAAGCAAGCGGTCAGAGGCTGAACGGATGGAGAGACCGGACCAAGTAAAATAAGGAATCCGTCCAAGAGGAGGGGGAAGAGCAAGATCCATATAGAGCATGCCCGTTCATTGAATTGGGATTCACATGCAATGGTAAATCATTATGACTGTCGTCGCTCCATTCAAGCTTCTTCATTCCAGGCGATCTCTCCGCCTCCATTTCGCTTCGTCTCCATTTGCGATTTTTTTCTCAGAACAAAGTTTCGCTATTTCGTCGAAAAGCTCACATCGGGATCTTGAACGAGGCTCGCGACCATGAGGGCCGTGTTTCCGGTTTGCGTATCCCGAGCATTGACGTTGACCCCGTGCTTCTGCAGAAGTTTCCGAAGTTTTTTCACGTCGCCATCCCGCGCGGCCGCCACCAACCGATGGTCACCATGGGAAATTCTAGGGCCGGGGAGAGGATGCCCTCCTGGTTGTTGACTGGCGGCATGGACCCCAGAACTCTCGGCCTGCATGATTCCAGCCATCGCCAATGTCAGCCACCGGTCGGTATCATCTGGAAAAATTCACATGATCATGTTAGAGCCTGTATCCGGAGAGACGCTCACTCAAGCGACGTTTCTCGGCAATCTCATCCCATGAGCGTGATTATCGAGTGCACGCAACGCAGGAGGAACTATTATTATTATTATTATGCGAGGACAGGAGCCGAGGGGAGGGGGCGTGTGGGGCCCGAGGTCACAAGGCTCTCATTAGAGCCGCAAACTCTACGACCGACCGCTGATTCCGGCGCATGGCTCGCTACCCTCACGGGCCGCTCGAATGTCAGGCGGGCCGGGAGAAAATACACAGGATTCGTCGAAGTCGAACAGCAGAGAGGAAACAGAGGACCCCGAGCCCTGCAGGGGGCGCGAGACGAGCGCGCTCGCGCACGGCAAACACGTAGATGCGGTGTGTACAAATCAGAAACCGAAAAGCTCGGAGAAGCTTCCGCTGGGTAAACGTCGCCCCTCTCCGTACTGAATTCCGAGCTCTGCGTTTGTTGAGAAACTCGTCGACTCGGCTGATTGAACGAGAAAGACTTGAGTCAAAGTGATTCTGTGTTGACGATTGCGTCACTCAACGTCGTCGATCGCTCCACGAACTCGCACCTTGCGGAATAGCGGACTCGGATTCCGATAATGACACGAGCAGATGATATCCCGACGGAGTGTGCAACGCCCTAACGGAAAGCTGATGGTGTTCCTGGAAGTCAGCTCCAGTCGGATCTCTCCGAATAATTACTCAGGATCGGGAAAGAGGAATCCTGACGACTCTCATCACGAGCTGTCTCGCGAGCGATTCGGGTTCCGCGTCGAAATTCCTCTAAAAGTGAACGAGAGAATTGCCCGTGGGGTGAACGGTAAGAAGTTGTCCATTGAGGGGAAACGCTCCTTGTCAACGATCTTCGTATCACTTGGTATGTTAAAGAGAAAAAGCGAGAAAGGTCGAGCCCGATCGTTTGGGGCGTGAACGATCCGAGCAGACTCCGCACATACGTATATTTCTATTCCGGACCGGGCCGTCATCACGATCCTGCGTGACACGTCCGCTGTCGACATGACGTAGGTGATGTAATCATGGTCATAACGCTTCTATAAATGTCAACAATAGCGCCTGTCATCGACGAGGGGAACAGCATTGTTCCGGGATGAAACACCGGACCAATGTTCTTAGATAATCTCCATTCCGGCGACTCTCCGTAGTCCCCGATTATTTCCCAAAAATCGCTCCGAAGGGATCTAGGACTCGAACTCCTCATTCGCTGCCGAGCTCCGAGCATGTAGTTTGAATCGGTGATCGGGACGTTTCGACATTTTTATAGTTGGATGGATGGGAGTCGAGAAGGCGCGAGAGACTCATTTCGAAGGCCCATGGAGGGGTGGATGGGTGGGCCACGGAGGTAAATATTGATATCCAGCAGCGAACGTTGGAAGCAGGAGGCAGACAGGGAACGTTGAGGTTTCCTTCGCTCCAGACGACGACGACAGTAAATCGAAAAGCAGTTTCCCGAACGAACATCTGCTGATGGCGCAGCGTTGGAAGCTTCAAATTCTCATCGATGTCGTCCGTCCATGAGTCCGTTTGTTTGCTCGCTAGACCGGCCTTCGTCTTCTCGTGTACAGGCTCAAAACCCACCGAGAAACTTATCTACGTTGACAGCTTTATTAACGCTCTCTGGAAGTGTCAGTTGACTGAGCGGGTGAGTGAAGTAGAGAATACTTTTCCCACCGTGATCTCCGTTCGGCCTCCATCCGGGGCGACGAGAGCGATACCGATCCGCCTTCCGCCCACGTTCGAGAACCCCTACCGCGGCAAAGGTGATTGTTTTGAGCTCTGCTCGATGGGTCGGCTTCACGTCCGGAAACGACGGTATCATGACTTCACGTCCTCATTGAAACCGGCAGGTCTGTTGCAAACTACCGACTGCCGAAAACGCGTGCAACGCTCCCAACCGACCCGTTTGACATTCATACGAACATTCATTATTGTTCGCGCTCCATATTTTGGAACCTCTCATGCGGGCACGGTTCCCCCAGATTGGATTCGGGATCTACCGGGCAAAAGTTGGGGAAAAATACCAGACGTCGAGCAGGTAGAGTTTCCCAGGGAATGAGATTCGGCTGTCACGGAATCACGATTGGTGATAAGTGATAATTCAACAGAGGAAAAAGGGAAGAAGGAAGTTCCTTTTGTAAGCGTTACATACATCGTTCGAGTCCTTTTTTCCAGCTCCTAACGCTACTTTGCCTTTCCTAATCTTCTGTTCAGCCTCAAACACGAACAATTAGGCACTCTCGCCAAAGTAACGCTACTCACAAGCAAGCGTGGCGTGGCTTGTCCTGACGAACAAAATGCGAACACGCCCTAATGAGCCGCTGACCGAAGGAGAAATTTTTCGCGAAGACAGCCATAACACGAAAAGAAAAAGGTTGTCGCTCGTGCTCGGCCCGTCACGTTCGCTCCGATGAACTCCATCGGAGTCTAAGCTGAATGTCGAGTAAGGAAGTTGATGGAGGAGTCGACGTCTCTTTCTCACCATCTTGAGTTTTGTTCCCGACTACGATGTACTCCGTTCGTCGACATCGGATCCACATCGCGATCTCCCGGTATCGAGCTCGAATCAATAACTGAGAGTCGAGGCAGAGAATTCTAGGCCGAAAATATCTGATGCGAACCAAACAACAGCTTCGCCCGTTTGACCATTCGACGACATCGGAAGACAGATCGTTATGACGAAAAAAAAATCAACGATTCCGCTTGCAGTAGCTTCAATCACCCAGCACCAGTAGGAATCGAAGCTCCTAGTCGTCGTCGCCGTCGGAGCAAGGAGTTCCCTAAGATGTGCGCCACACGTGCGACGTCCGGCACGTTCACCGGCGGCGCCGATCCGAGTCATTCGAATCTGAGAATCGGACGGCGGCGACTGACCACCGGTGAGTGAGTGAGAGCTCAGAGAAAAACGGACGGCGGAGGATTTCCGTGCGCAAGTCTCTAACGACCGCTCTGACCAATTCGACCACAGCACGGTACATCATTCGGAACCGTCGGCGTTGGGGGACGGCGTTGGAAGTCCGTCGTGGGACCGCGATGGGATAAACGTACGGTGGACGGTGACAACACCCAGCGGAACAGGAAACACAGCCATTCAATGGATGGATCGAACACTGCTTTCGACGACTACGTTGACAATGCGTTCGAGGACGTTCCCGGGGACCGCTCACCCGGCCGCCGTGGTGGGCTCCCGCTGACCGGTGAAGAATCCCCGAAGGGGCGATTCTTCGGATACGCGCTACCGAGTGACTCCCCCCGGATTCCTGATGGGACGGCCAACATCGGAAAAAATAATCGACTCCATCTGACGCGTTTGCGAGACCGACCAACCGGCGGAACTGAACGTTACATCGCAATCTTCGTCGCACCATTACTAGCCACCTATTAGTTTGTACCTGAATGCTGGTAACAGCACAAAACTCCCGAGGGTGCGGGTCCGCGGGAGCCTCAAACCGGGGGAGATCCTGATCCGCGTGACAGATTGACCGACGAATTTGTTACTCCTGAATGAATTCTGGGTGCATGTTGTCTAAATTCGAGCCTCGAGTTCAGCGGTCGATGCCGTGGAGCGGGTCTGACGACTTCGATCAGATTTCTTTGACTTCGCCTCAAGCCAGAGTAGTCTCCTCCCTTCTCGAGGGAGTCTGACGAGTTGGGTTGAGGAATCTCACTGAACGCGAGAGATTTTTGTCGGACCTTACGAGGGAGCGCGTTCATATTTTTACGCTCGAAGCGTTCCCAGATACCGAGCTGCATTCTCGGCAGCGACTTCGCTCACAGCAGATTCGCCGAATCGAATACCGGGTCGAACAGGGTAACCTTGGTCAACGAAGCGCACGAGGCGAAATCTAATCCACGGAGCGACCGAGTGAGCGTACGGTGAACGTAATACGAATTCCTCCGAGCCAATGACTCTGGGTTCAAAGCATTTTTCTCGGGATGTCCCGGAAAGAAATTCTCCTCTAAGGCTCCGCTTCGGTTGCCGGTAAGAAGTGCCATCTCTGGATTCCGTTCCACCAGATCCGGCTGGGCGGGTTCAAAGGTTTCTTCGGAGCGAATCACGTTCGAGTTCCTGCTTCTGCCTCATCTAATTTAATGTTCGCTCTGATATTCTTAGTACGGATTTTCCTCCACTCGCCGAGGGCTGGAACTGAGTTCTCCAGAGCCGGACGATCCCCGAGTCTCAGCTCCACCCTCCAGCGCTCCCAGAGCATTCTCACTGGCGGTAAGGCTTCGGATCGGGGTCACACTGCGTTCTCGGGTCACGAGGAGACAACTAGGAGAAACTTCTGAGTATCCCAGAAATAAGTGATGATCGTACGAACATACTCAACGGATCGATAATTTGCTCCCGGGTAGCGGAACTCCCTCCGATAGGGAATTCTGAACGAGCAACGATAGCGATTTCTCCCGCGATTGATTCGCTGAATTGTATCGGGTCTTCCGAGTAGTCTGTCACAAGGTCCCTGCGATTCACAGGTGAAACGATTTTCTAGACCCAAACGTTCAGACGAAATGACCATTCGTCGCATCCGTCGACGAGACTCGGAACGCGGAATCCCGGCGACAGCGTAATTCTGATTTCTGGCGACGCGCGATGCTTTGATCGAGTAATTTTCCTCGATAAACATCAGAGCGCGGATCGGAAAGCACGTCGATCGGACCTCCGAGCGCAAAAAAATTACGGAATTAAAGACCGGTAAATAATTTCACCCGCAACCGCGTGTTCATGAGCGAGAACGTAAACGAGACAACGCCCACAGCCAGCTCAGCGCTCAGGAGCGCATCAGCGAGCGTTCTTGGAGCCACGCCGAGGAATAACCATTCTGGAGAAAAGATCCCGAGGAGTCGTCTGCGCTTTTTAGACTAATGTCACACGAAGAGGACCGTCGAAGGGGAGCGGCACGAGTTCATCGGACGTACTACCCGCAGCCACAGTCGAGCGGTCAGCCTAGAGTCAGGGCGGGTGGATAACGGGTCGTGGGTCGAGAGCCGACGAGAGTCAAGAAACCGTGATGATCGTCGTTTCTCATCGACATATATCATGCGAGTGTTTACATCGTAACGTGTCCGATGTCAGGCTATCTACTGATCGTCGAGTCAAAGCTCTCTATGATCCTCAATGATTCGCTCAAATACCACAGAGATTACACAGGAGACCGCAACGGGAAGCGAGTCGGCGTTCGAGCATCCGCTTTACGAGCATCCTTCTGGCGATTTTTCACATTGCCCCGATCCCGGTCGAATACTCCGGAAAACATTCCTAATTTTTTCCTTTCCTCGACTCATATCCCAAAAATGGAAGTGGAGTCGGCGCGGCGTTCTGGAGCTCGTGTGTCACCGAAACTCATTGTCCATGCACCAGTGGTTTTCACTCGAGTGTGGATGAACGTGTGCGCCAACAAGATGGAGCAACGAATTATGGAAAATTCAGTATGCTCCGAAACGCGAGCTGTTCCCTAGAGGAACGGTGATGAGGACCCCCTTCGGAAGTCGGGGGTAAGAATTTCTAACGAGAGGACACGGAACAACAGGGACGGATTGGAGCTTCCGGAAATCGATACCCACCGAAGTTTCTTGCGTTCCGCCGAGTCTATTCGACGAAGAGACGGTGGAATACCATCAACCATCATAGAGCGTATGACGTGTGTCTGACAGGTATCGTGATCTTCCCGGCGCAACGAAATGCTCGCGGCTTCGAATGGGATGGACGCATAGCCCAGGACGATTCGAAATCTATCAGAACAAGTTCTTCAAATGACGAATTGGAGAGAAATTCCCGTCATTTAGGAATTCACACACAGCTTCTTCCATCGAACGGATCGCGGTGAGAGCTCGGCGCTTCGCGGCGTCGGCCTTCACTCCGATAATAATAATCAACCAGTTCTTCTTGTTAGAGAGTATCGAAAGCGTTGCCATTTTACTCTAAAAGGGACGAGCTTCTTCACGAAGACGACTCTCAGAACGAGCTGGGAGGTCAGCTCATCTTTCATTTTGTTGCCACTCGAAGGAACAACGTCGGTGACGAGCTCTCGCTATGAATCAGCTGAGTCGAACGTCGTTCGAACTTCAGACGATTCGGCTTCATTAATCGATCACTATGCTTCGCCATCGCTGGTCGGAGACCCATACAAGCCCACACGAACGAACGAATGCAGGCACGCACGCACGGAAAAGCATCGAAGCCGTTTCCGTAACCAGCTGCCTAAATGGAATATCCGCACGCGGTCACCGGCAGGCTCCGTAGATCGGATCTTCCCCGATCGCGGACTCTCCGGAGCACTCTGACTCCTGACAGATCGGTATCTGCTCGCATATGCAATCAGCCTGGAACAAGCCCTCTAAATCGTTGGCTCGCTCAATTCTGCCCGGAACAGCACCGTCCTTCGGATCGCCCATCTACCGATCAGTTCTCGTGTCCCTCGGCGAAGCAGAGGGATGCTATTCTCTCCGAAAGTCGGCAAACACTCTAATCAGAGAACCCCGTCTGAAGGCGCGAGGCGTTCGAGGTCCGAAGTTTCCTCTGAGTCGAGACGAGCTCCATCTCGGAAATGCTTCTCCCTTCGAGTCCGCAACGTTGGAGACTCAGGATTCACGCTCCGAAGGTTTCCTCAGCACTCAAACCACATCGGAGGGGAGGGAGCTGGAAAGCGGGTACCAACCTGCGATCAGAGTTCATCATTGGATGTTCGACGGTGATGATTCATGCGAAATGACCGCGTGCCTGGAGCTTATTCGATCGGCCCGGAGCCCCTCTTGAGGTCCGATCGAGGTCTTCCACCACAAACAACTCAAAATACACAGGACCTTCGGTCGGCCTAGAATACCAATGTTCTCCGTTCGTCAGTGTCTCCTACACCTTTCCTGATCGAGTCTCTGACTGCGGAGGAGCTCTGGGCATGCGCGCACAAGATCATCGTCATCAGCGTTTCGTACAGCGAGTTGAAGGCGCCGGTTTTCACGAAAGTTCCGGCGGCATGCGGAAGAGATCATGCAACGAGGACTGGCGCTCTCGTGTCCGGCGCTCGAGGGACTCCGACCCAGGTGACGCACGGGGAACACGACCGTCGGGACGTCCTGTGCTCTGCCGATGCCGAGAGGCAAGAAGGTCACGGATCACACTCATCATCAGGGCGGGAAAGGGAGTCTGTTTTGAAAGTGTCAGCTGGCCTCATCATAACCCTTCTCTCAGGAGCCAGAGAACCGTCGGATCGCCTGCGGTCGAGTTTCTTCCCAGGGAGACGATGATAAGTGACGAATTAGTAAAGACGTGACCCTGGGGATTTGGACAGACTCAGGAATCTCGATTGGTGGGCACGGACCGCGTGTCTCCTCAAAGCGCGGACTACATCAGCTCGCATGGAACAGAGAACAGGTATGAGCTAACAGAGGGGACCTTCTCTCTCATGAAGCGGGTCGTAATTCGTAATTTCATAGTAGCGAGTTCCGCGGAGAAAATGAGCGCCAACACGAACTAGCAGGCGTTTCTGATTCGCGTCGAAGGGAATGCTGCTCTGGCGGGACGGAGCAAGAAATACCCCGGTCGGGACCGCTTCGCTGAGACAAGTCTGCCCGTGAATGACTTTTTCTCTCTCCGGGTCGAACAGAATGTGGACCCATACCAGACGGAGATCTCTACAAATTGGAGTTCAAGTACTACAAATCCAAACAAAGGCCGCCCGACCTATCGTCAGTCATAGACGCCAACAAGGAATCGGCGTTCTCATGGAGCACGTGCGCCATCGGACGAAATGACCACGGAGTGGAAGAAACGTTGAAGGTTTGTGCGCGGCCTATTCTTTCTACGTATGACTTCCTTTCGGCCGGAGTGAGGCGTATGTCTGCCCGACGCCGATGAACGGCATCGTACTGCATGGCGGAGCACACTCTCCACTCCATGGTTTCGTTTACGGTGTGCAGAAAGAAGTTGGCTGACAACGAACTCATTCCCGCAGGTCGGCGAGCTGACCTCGGTGCCTGGACTCCTTTTTGTGCCGGCGGCCTTCAGCCCGGAGGGTTTACACCGATTGACGCACAGCTGCCTGTACGACTATCCCGAGCGTCCAAACGTCACGAATCTCGAAGTTCTACCGGCTTCAACAACGAAACGTCTCGGAAGCGTGAAAGTAGCCCTCGACGATGAACTGAGGAAAAAGCTCCGTTGGGCGACCTTGGGATATCATCATGATTGGAACACCAAGGTGAGCGCTTCATCCGGGAATCCTCGATGGGGAACAGAGGAAATCGGCGAGTATTGGAACAGGGCAAGCGGAGAGGATCCCGTTTGGAATTTCAATGGATGAAGTTCTCGTGATACGAGCTTTCCGCGTTCGCAGGTGTACAACATGGAGCATTTCTCCCGATTCCCGTTTGAGCTCGCTCAGTGCGCCGCCGTTTTCGCTGAAAAAGTTGCTCGTTACGAATACCAATATCGAGCAGAGGCGGCGATCGTGAACTACTACCCAATCGGAATGACTCTGGCAGGTGGGTGGGAGTCGATTCTTCACTCGATTGCATGTTAATTCCTCCTGGGAGTTCACACTTCGAGAGCTGAACGAATGGATTCATCCCATATCTAAAGAGACCATCGAAAATCTTTCAGGCCACGTCGACCAGTCCGAGGAGGACCAGACAGCTCCCCTCGTATCGATATCATTAGGATGCACTTGCATATTTTTGATCGGTGGCTCAAGCCGCGCCGTGCGGCCGTCAGCTCTGTTCCTACGTCATGGGGATGTCGTGATCATGACGGGTCCCGCTCGCCAAGCTTACCATGGAGTTCCTAGAGTATTCATTGAAAAGGGCTCAGACAGGCCGGACGCCTACGCTCTCGCTGGTGATTGCGAAGAGAGCATCTGCAAGAAGTACCTCTCGAAGCATCGGATTAATATAAATATTCGACAAGTTCACAAGCCCGACGTCTAGCGGCTCCGGTAGCCAGACAGCGGGGCCGTGATCCCGATTAGTGATTTCCTTGATCTCTTAGATTCTACGCGTATCAAATGCAATATCTCGGACTCCTTGAAGACCCTTAGAGATGAAGCTGTTGTGCTTGTCTTGAAACGGGGAAACGGACTTGGAGGACGCGCAAATGTTTCGCCCGAGTCGTGCGGCACCCGTCAGTGATCTAGGCGCATATCTCTGTGAGACCTGTCTACTCTACATATTGCTCATAGTGACTGACCCTTGCTCCCTAGTGATGTTAAGTTTGGCATTAAAGCTCGGAGGTTTCCGTTCGGAGGATCGACGGTCTTTTCAATGGCAGGATTTTATTACGAGAGCGGAAAATCTTCCATGCTCGCATCATTTCTCCGTGAGAATTTCCAGAGAGTATTCGTGCGATCGGCACTCGGAATCGATTAACTATGTATGTCAGCTTAAAGCACTGTTGCATCGCCGCCGGGGCGCGATATCGTTTCGGTGCTCGCATGTGCTCCATGCTCTTCCGCCCCGTCAAGAAGCGTGGGCGAGAGCTCCTTGAGACCCGACTGCGGAACGGCATTGGTTCCTCACATCTATCGGAATTTTCGCTATCAAACACAGAATGGTATTTACAAATTGCCCTCAAAGCACTCGTTCGAGCATGGCGAACGATCCCTCGGGACCTCTTTGAAGAGTAAGCTGTCATTCGAAAGGCGTATGTCGCCGTATTCTGTGATGGGATTCTACGGATGAATATTTACATAATCGAATATATTATTATCGGATACTTATACAAACAAGACGTTTTCCGAACTCGTTTCGGAAAGGTATGTGACTCAAGACCTATCTGTAACCGTGGTCGTCGAAATCCTTCGGCACGACGGGTTGCGTCACGTTCTCAGGCATCGGGATATGAATCTCCCCGGAGCTGACGAAGGCAGTGAGGAAAATGTTTGCTACGGCTATGAGAAAAACACCAACTAAAACAAAATTGTTCACTAGCTCCGCCGGTCTCTGCTGGAAGGCTCGATTGATGTTGAATCTGGAAAGTAACACGACGCTGAGGCGAAGGTTCCTGACGTCGGAGGTTTCACTGAGAAGCTCCCTAAGATTCATAATAATCCTCTCTTCGACCGAATCTACCAACCTTCCTTTGATGATGAGCAGGATTCCGACGGTCACCTGCAGAACCAGAGCTGTTCCGACGGAGGCTAAACATATCAAATAGAAGCGATTGCTCCTCGAGCCATTCTGTAGTATGGTGCGCAGCTGCGAGGCGTTCGACGTTAATAACGCCAACGTAAGAAGACCTGTCGGTCGGAACAATTTTTACCGTAAGTTATGTCCCTCTCGTACTCCTGACCACCGATGCGGCAATATCTCATGAATAGATGGCCGGGTCTTCATTTCTGAGCTTTCGAAAGAACGAACTCTATGAAAATCCGAGTACCTTGAGAGATTGCGTTTTTAGTCGAATACAGGTTCATATCCATCCAACTGTGAGCCCCTGACGAAGCCTCGGCCTGGAGCGAATGTTCCATGTCTAGACGAAGCTCATCGGAGTTGACACCGCCGGTATTTTCCGTTCCATTCTGAAAATATTCTACTCACGTGAGTGGATTATCCGATAGCGGCGAAACCCGTGGCAGAAGAGCCTCTCTCCAGCCGTGGTCTTCGAATCTCTCAACTCCGGAGCCCATGAGGTCAGCGAAGCCCCGTACGCTCAACTCAGCCAAACGGAACCACAATAACACGAACTCACATCCCTGCTGACGTAGAGGGACAGGGATTTTTTTCACTTGTACCCGCGGAAGTAATGCCAACCGTACGGGCCGAAAGTTCTGTGCAGGAAACGCGTCTCGTACCGGAGGGTCATTTCTCGGTGTTTTCATCTCTTGAGCGAGGGCATGACCACGAGCGATTCCTTACCAAACGTTTACACAAGGTTACAGGTGCAAGAGAGCTGGCCGTGTTGCTATAGACCACGAACTGGGTTACACTTGGATGCTAAACGTTCGAAGAGCTGACCTAATTCCGGTTTTTGTACCGAACCAACGCAACCTTCGGTACGAGACCCTTGCACCTTCCCACTGAGCACTTACAGGGCTGGTCGCTCCAAGTACAGGAACGACGATTCCCCCATCCCTGCTTGACAATGAATGGACGATCGACGTAAACACGGAAATTCCGTCGCACGTAACACTCGAACGCCAAGTTCCTGGTACGACGATTAGGTTTCTCCATGCTCCCGGCTTGCTTGTCACATAAATGATGCCTCAAAGTTTTCGCTACATCGCACACTCCTCACGCGGGAAGACCTTGCCGATCCTGCGGGGTTCGCTGTACCGAGAGATTCCTCTGTAATCCCCCGATCGAGCTCCGCAGATCATCGGGAGAATCCCGGTGGAATTCTCTTCTACGGCAACACTTACCTCGTTGTCGGCTGAATTCAGGCGATCTGGTCCCGGTGGTCGGTTCAGCTCCCGCAACTCTTCGACTTCTAGCTGATGTTTGTGAGAACGGCGGAATTTCGTATCCAGTGAAGAACACCTGTTCATATCGATCGGGCGTTATGAGAGACTGCCGCTTGTTTCCCGAACAACAGCCAAGAACGAACGAATTTCCATCACTGGTCCGAAACCTTGTGCTCGAGCAAGAGAATGGTCTTCAGAGCGCTCGTCGTATTTTTCGTGGGTGGCTCCAGATTCGTCAATGAGATTTCAACGGAAGAAATTAATGCGGAACCGACATACCAGACAACTAAGTCCCATACAGCTCTAAAACTCGTGCTTTCAAGCGCCGCAAGCCGTCTTCGAAAATTACAGCCCGGGTCAAGACACTGCTGTCTTGAGGAGCATGGGCGGAAAGCAACTTCACGCATTTGAATTAGCGTTTGGACGGACGAAGCCGAGGAGTAACAAGACGTTGCTTCATAAGGGAGAGATTATGGGCGCGCGATCAAGTGCTCAGAGTAATGACGGACATCGATCACAGTCATCGCGAATGAGACCGACACGAGTTGAGGGCATGCAGCTGCCAGATTGAATGATCGGGAAGTTTTTTCACTTTTCCCGAGGCAAGTCCGCGACAATTCGACGGGTTGTCGTTCACCGATGCCGAGAGATAGAAAACTCCTCGCTAATACTTAGTGACACAAACCTGGAAGACGGTCTCCGCGCCATGAGGTGCTCGTGAGGGATCGGACTGGGCGCCATTCTCACCGTCCGGGATCCTCCACGACACATGCAAACTCAATCTATGTAGTTTTCGCTTCAAGCCCCACTAAGCTGGAAAACGGCCGCTGTCGGCACCGCTCCGGACGCTTCGGAGAGCACATGGTGGTGTTCTGGTCGCCGGCAGCACTCTCCGAGTTAAGTCATGCTGCAGCTCGGAACGCCACTTTTACAAACTCCTCAAAGCCAGAAGTGGTTCGCAGTGCTACTGAACAAGTGCGTTACCGGCCGGGAGAGAGAAGTTTTCTCTGTAGGCAGGTCAAACGTCGCCGGTCCTTCCCACGCGAAGGCCCCAGCGCACGATCCCAATCACCCTTACCCGCCCGCAGGTCTGCAGTGCAGAATACCTTCAACGGCTCCGGCAGAAGTGCTTGATGGCGTCGGGAGCTGTAGCTCGATTAAAAATCTGTATCATCAGATCCGCGCCGACCGAGAAATCACACCTGACAGACGTATGGTCAGCGGTCTCCTCGGACATTTTGAGCGCTGGAAAGATGGGTCTGAGCCTCGGGGCTAGGATGAGAGATCGATGATGCATGGGAGTCTCTCTTGATTCCGAACAGTTCCCGTGTACTTCGGAGACTCCTTAAGGAGCTGAGAATGGAGAGGGGATGAGGAGGCGGCCCCTCGAGCTCCGATTCTCAATACACGGCCCTACATCGAGGGTACAATACATTACATGTCTCGTTCTCATTCCAGTACATGCCCCGCACATGTCGTCCCGTTTTCGGAGAGAGGATAAATCGCCTGAAGCTGGTTCCCGGCTTGAACGAGGAAGCGTCAGTTCCATAGGACCCGGGACGATGACGGAATTCCATAGCACTCGAAAAATGTCTCTCTTCGACTTAACGCCTGTAATTATGGTGACGCAGGTCCGGACATTCGCTTGAGGAACTCGAGCTTAGGGAGACCGTGCGGGAAGAATCGCGCATTCCTCCTCCCAGAGTCCCGGCGATCACCGGGATCGATGACATCTGAGATTGGACCAAGGTCGATTTAGAAGGAAAGAGACCGCAAGCAGCCAGCTGACGTTATTCCTCCTGAAAAGTCCTCGGAGACCCACAACAACGACGACTCCTTTTGACTGAGCTCCGCCTCTCCCCGACTCGATTCTTCGAATAGGGGTGCTTTTTTCGCTTCCGGGATGCCGGTTGCTTCCGACTCCCCTGTCAGTCTCCCGCCCCACTCAAGGGACGATGATCACCATTCATGACGTCATGAGTCAAATGGCTCGATTAAGGAGCGCTTTTCCCCTCCGGATCAGCGTCCTCATGCTAGTCGACGAACCGGAAGAAAACCAGAACGCGGAAACCTAGCAATACGGTAGAACTTTCTGTGATGAACAAGAGATCGGAGTCTATCTGATGAGTCCCTGCCGACGGGCATGGTGCTACAGGGGTACAGTCACGGATCGCTTTCAGGAGTAGAATCCCTCAATACTTTCGTCTTTCCTCACAGTTGGCGACCGCTTCCGGGAAAAGCTGGATTGAGCTTATTGGGCTCATTTATCGCCGTATCCCTGGTCGTCAGGCCCCCGGGCATATATCTCTCGTCACCGCAGTGCTCAAAATGAATCAGTGCGTACCGTTACGTCATTGCGTGATATCGAGAGAAATCCTATCAGAATATTGAAAATTAGTACTGTCCGAGCCGTTCCAGGGTCCGTAATCGCTGAATCCCGACATCGATAGGCTGGGAATGATTGAGAACTCTGGAGCTTTCAACCTCATTTATCCACAGTGATGCACTCTCTGCACGAAAATTCGAGGCTGCAGGCGAAGCAGAATATTCCGCTCGCGAGCTTCGGACCGGCCGGAGTTGATCCGATTGATCCTCGTCGATACTCCAGGAGAGTCCATGACGTCTTTCGGTCGAAGATCAGAATGTTTCACGCGCTCAATCTTAATGATCATTCATCATCCATGCCTCTAAGCCCGGAAAAGACGGTGACGGCTTTGGAGCTCTAGCGGAAATAGCAATCGCAAGTGGATGACCGATTTCCCTAAGAACCTCTCTGCTTCCACTGCAACGAGCTGCACACAGAATGACAGGGCTCTTCGAATGGACTGTACACGATTGTGGTAAGAAAATAACTGAGGGGTTTTCTCCACTCATTTCGTCAAAGAGCGAAGCTCTGCTCAGCAAGCGCGGCGTGTCAAAGTTTCCGCAACTCGCACGAAGACAGCGGTGCGGATAATAATGGAACATGGCGGAATTATTCATGAGCGGAAGGAAATTCTGCTGCCGATCGCTCCTCCGCGGCACAATAATTAAGTTCGATTCAATTCTACTTCGCTTTTGAGAAACTGAGTTATCGATTTGCATATTTCCGAGAATTCTAGATTCGAACTCTCGAGAATCCGGAACTGTCTTTCGACATTCGAGGAATTCCGTATTTCTCGACCACTGAGGCATGGTTGGTCTGACGGTCATCGGTTGACTGCCTATGTCCTCTACGTCGGCGTTCCAATTCGGAGTTCCGAGCCTCGCTCCCCCGCCTCGCCGCCCATCAGAGGAGCGAGCGACCGCATGAATCGAAAACTTTCAGTCGATCGGAGAAATGAGCATCCTGCAACCAGGGTAGTTTTCTCCGGAATCACGTCGGTGCGGGGAATACATCTTACGAAAAGAATTCTCAGCCGTCCGACTGACTCCGGCCTGGTCCTTATTCGCTTCCCCCCTAATGTTCGGAGGGAGGACCGTGGTGATGCAGCAGTTCGGATGATTAATGTAACGTTACAGCACCAGGACAACTTCTTTGCTCGATGTTCTGTTCCCGTCATCCAGCCGACTCGTTCGGGGTATCAAAAGAGCTGGGCAAGAAAGAAAAATCTGCTTCATATGAGTCGTAAAGTGGATCCGAATGGACGGCGACCGCTCGTAAAAGCGAGCTCTTAGGCTCTTCGAGCGACGGAGCAAGCGGTCCGTCTCTGTCCTGAAATGTTTTTCGGAACACGCTAGCGTCTCTACGATGCCCCGCCGCTGATTTCCTCCACAATTCCCTTCCATAGATCCGATATTCAGCAAGAAAGCTATGCTCGCGATACTTTCTCGATAATCCTGTTTCCTCAAAGGAGCGTAGGGGCAACGGTCGAGGCAGCGCTATTGGAGGGAATTCGGGGCAGCAGAAAGAAACGAGCCTCTTGAGCCCGCAGTCTACGGGACTCGCGCTGGGTATAATAATGGCTCATGCAGGCGCATGTTGTCACTCTATACCCCTTGTGAGAAGAAGGGGAGCAGGCGGAGATGGTCGAGTGACCCGGGACCCAGGTCTGGCATGAGAATGAATAATCCGCCTGAGTAGACTTGGAAACCCCTATCGTCCGCTTCGTTTAATTGGAGCTGTGAGAGGGGAAAAATCTCACATCATATCGGATGTTCAACATTTTTTCCGTCGGGATCTCAGAGTCAATCTAAATGTGGACCTCGAGTTAAGAACGTCGCGGGTGCATCTGAGGCCTGGGAGACGTCTGGCAAGGAAATTCCTCCGTGAGAGATGCAGTCGTATTCGTTACTAATAGCTCATTATAGGGCCATCCGAATCGTTCTCGTCACCGAGATTCTCCCATGAATCGGATCGGTGCTCATAAAGGGAGCTGGAAGGAGCCTGGAAATGTTGCTTCTGGCATAGGGGAACTGAATACTCCATCCATCAGGGGAGTTGATAGGTGATATTGGAGTCCATAGCTGAAAGAAACCTAGTAGTGGGAGTTGTGGCTACGTCGATTATCATTACTCACTGTAACACCTGGAAGGTCCGTTTCCGGCTCGCGGCGTTCTCGCACCTATCCGGCTGATGTAGAGGCTCCCTCCCCACAGGGGAGCGCTCGCTATGATATATAGATCGAAGCTAGCGATAGATAGCGTCGACAGCGAAACCTCAGCCGTAGTCCCATTAGGAGAGCCTTCCTCTCATGATATAGGCGGCAAATTAGCTTCAGTGTCGATCGTCTCTGATATGCTTCCACGCCTTCCACAGCGTCTGTGAGGGGAACGATCTCCAGCGGGTAACCTTTCCCGAGATCCGATCCGTATGTTTTTTCCGTAGAGCATTGCGAACCGCGTTCGAATGGGGGATTCGAGCTCTAAACCTCGATCAGAGGGTTCGAGCATTTTCCGAGAGAGTAGATAGGTATGTGCGAAGCCCCGCCCGCGTCGCGTCGTCGATTGATTTTTCTCCCGGCGCGCGTCGATGGGATCGGCTTTGAAAGGCGAGCTATTGCGACGATCGACAGGACAGTTGTTGCAGACGAGGTAGAGACATCGCGACAGACTTCAGCACAAATTGTTCCTCTCTCCTCGCCACATTCCCCGCTTGCTTCTCCGGCCGGCGAACGGCGACGTTAGGACGGAGCTGATGGGAAAGCCCATCTGCCGTTGATGGGAAAGAACGGGAGTACGCGAGTGAACGATTCGCCTTGGGCATTAACCAACCCACCCACCTACCCAGTCAAGCAAGCCGCCAGTCACCCAAGGAGAGAGCTAGTTCACCGACCTACTAGCGTCAACGGGGCCGCGGTCTCCCCGCAGAGTTTGTTGTAATTATAGACCAGATATGCCCAAGGGTCCAACCGGACGTCCCACATCCGCCGCACATATACAGTTTGCGACCACCGAGACGGAGTCCGGACGGGATGCTGTATCCATGGGCACAATTTCCCGGATCTGTGAAGTCTTAGTGTGTGTAACCAAACCACGGAGCTAGATGATATAAGTGAGCGATCGAGTCGGACTGCCTGCGAATCGCGTCACATGGCAACCGCGCGATCCTCAAAGGAAGAACCACCGGGTATCCCCTCGACGGTCGCAGCTTGCTCAGCTCCTTCCTGCGTTCCCCCGTCCGACTCTCCGTATAAACGAGAGTGGACGGCCTAAGTGAATTTACGTTGAACTAGTTTTAATGGAGCGATACAACAAAGGGTCACAGGAGACATGGATCGGGCAGATGACGGAGAGCGACGACGATAAAAAGGACAGTCTCCGACGTCGGTCTCGTCTACTCTGGAAAGATAAGTTGGAAACTTGCCAAAATAGGCTCGGTGGCGTATATCGCCGTCGTAGATGGGAGAGGCACCGTCGAGAGAAATTCCGTTCCCTCGGATCCGACGAATTCCAAGGCTCCGAAGCAAAGGGGCGTCATTCCAATGCCGGTCGATGGAGAGGTCGTTTCGTTTTCACTTGATTTTTCGACATGAAAAAAAAAACGAGATGTCGTATTTTGTTTTGTATGTATTGTATGGCTGTGGAGTCGCTTGACGAGACGAAGCGCATTTGAAAACGGCTGGCCGAGTTTCATGGAGGAGCCCTGTCGTCGTCTCAGAGCTCTTGGGTATTAGGTTGATTTATGAGCAGGATTTGCTCTATATACTGTGCGTCGCAATCTCCTCCTTCCGCACTCCACCTCCGTCCCGGAGCAGTCTCACAGCTTCTCCCCGGTCGTTTCACTCCGGCCGGCTGCATGGCTTCGCAAGCTAGAGAGCATCCTTGAGCTCTCGCGAAACTTCCGGGGAGACGCCGAAATTAAAGTCGACGACATACGACATGATCACCTAATACGATTTCTCGCTCCGACTTTCTCCTGCTCGAATTCCAAGACTGAGGGACGGTAAAGCTCTTCTCAGAGGCGAAAATCTTCCCTCTTTTCTCCATTCCTACAAATCTCAATGAGCTCTCCCCATATGGTTTGCCAAGCGTATCATTTGTCCCGGAACAGAACGATTTGGCATGCGAAGTCTTGAAAGTAGCTTTCATGCTCGCGCAGGATCAGGTTCATCCTAGCATCCGGCATTTTTTGTGCCGCGCATTCGGCTCTTGTTCGGAGCCGGTCCCCGGAGCTCTGACTCCTCTCGAGGGCGTTCTTAGTAAAGCCTCGGATTTATTTCGTTTTGGCTGCGGCTCAAGGCGATAGTCTTCCTTCAACCTTCCGACCTCGTCCACTCCGACGGCGGCGAAAACCCCCGATACTGGCAGCGCAGGAGTCAAGAACAAAGGGGAACGAAAAACGCGTTAAAGCGAAAAGAAGATCAAAGAGGAAAAGTAGAGGGCTCCCTCTCTCAACGAAGGAAAAAATATCTATCCTTCCTCTTGTAAGCCAGCGAGGCCAGTAGCGGTCCGCGAAGGTTCTTCGGAGGGACAAGTGGCGAGCCTACACTTTGAGGGTGCGACTTTTTCGCGTCCCCGTACCCAAACAAGCATACTGTTTTACTTGTTATACACGTCATTGATTTGAAATTTTCCTGCTCGTGAGGAAACGAGCTCCCCTTGGCCATCGCAAGTAAGCCAGATCCGGTAGAAGCGGAGCACGGAGGTCCTCGCAGAGAATGAAAAATGTGCGTTTTAGGGGCGGGACGCATTGCGCGCGGGTTCGCGGGCGGTGCGACGTCATCCTTTTGTCAAGTCCAAAGACGGGCAGCTCGCTCCGAGAACTCCGAGACGTTCGAGAGACGGAGGAACCAACCAAGCAGCCAGCAAGTCGAGCAACGAACGAACGTCTCTCGTCTTTTGTGAAAGAGGACGCCGGTCCTCGGGAGCCTCCACCGCTATTGTTGTGGGTCTTACGCACCATTATCCTCGGAGTGATCTCTTGGAACAGCGCAATTGAAAGTTGCGGTCGCGGTGTTTTGTTCAAAGCTGCATCGTTGCGGTATTGGACGCTTCCGGACCGTCGACTTCTCTTGTTCCAGAAACCAATCGGGATTCGCAATGGGACGCGTCGCGAACAGGAGTCATCGGCGAGAGAGTTTGCCCTCTGCGATTGACAGCTCGTGGGACTCTCCCGAGGAATCCGTTTCCGATCGGTCTTCCATCACCTTCGTTTCTTCCTGCGTTCGGATCTCCTGATCGGATCTGCGCACAACACTTCCAGACCCCAACAGTGAGTTCTGACGTCCTCAGACCGCCAGATCCCGCGGACTGGAATCTGATGTGAATGCTGCGTTTTCCTGAAGCTTACGACGTCGTAGCGGGGAAGCTCCTCCGAATTATTTCTGAAACTCAAGGTAGTCGAGTCCTCTCGCTACAGTATTCATCTTATACTGCAGGATTAGAGCGTGATCGGGAAACTTCGAGAAGCACTGAGCAACGATCTGAGGCTTGTGCGTGCGAGCTCTCCCGTCATCAGTCGGGTGAAAATCTCTTATCTCGCGGCTAAGCAACAGCGGGAGCTCCGGTAGCAGGCGTGAGGCGGATCGGAGGAAGTAGGCGAGACTGTGGAGAGGGGCCGTGTGTCGTATAGTGTCAGGAAATTAGCCCGCGGCAGATACTAGCGGAGGTAATCCTTGCGGGGATTACAGGACTCAGCCGTCTGTTCCTTGCGTCTACATGTCGTCGAGAACACCTTCCTCGCTAGCCTGCTTCAGTCTTCCTGCACTTGCACTGTTGGACTCTGATGCTGTGAGAGAGATTACGCCGGACAGTTTTTCTTATTCCCGATCTTATTGCTATTCTGGGACTTCATCGATCGAAACCGACGGCAGGAATTCGGGAGCCAGGTCTTGGCGGCTTCGCTCATTTTTAGGTGGAAGCAGTCTCAAGCCTTCTATGACAATGGAATCTGCTATTTTCCTGAGGATTCGATTCGAGCTCTCTCGTATGTGAGGCTTAGTCCCGTGGTCTCGGGCATCGTGTCTAGCAACATCACAGGGTTGCCTAGATAACTGAGGATTCAGATTTCGCAATCGAAAGAAGAAGGTATGCAAGCTCCGAAGTTTCGAGTTCGCGATCTTGCTCGGCGACCCCCTGGTTTATTGTGAAATGTCTATCTCAACACATCTCGTTCCGTTCTCGAGGTTCCCCGGGGTCAATATTTGGTGATTTTCTCGCGGATGACATATCTACCTATTGCCAGAGAAGTATTCCCATTTCGTGGTTCCCGGCCAGACCCAACCCAAGATCGCCCAGAGGGGATTCTGTGTCGGATTCCGTTCGGGAGCTCGCGTCTGACGAGCGAGCATCATTCTAGTTGGTTGTCACCGTCCGAGGTGGCGGAACCGGTCTCGTTCCTTTCCAGTCGATGAATAGGAAAAACATCCCAAATCCGTAAGCTACGGCTTGACAGATCCCGAAAATCTGCAAAACAAATGAATCCACTACGTCAGATCCCGATTCAGCCGATGCTCGCCGTTCTTGAATGAGCGTAGCATTTTATAGAACGCCGTCAGCGCCTTCACTTCCGTGATCACTACCGAACGAGTTTGTATTAACTAGAAGCCCTCACTTACGCCTGCGCCGATGTACTGATCACGAATAGCACGATAATCGCTGCCCGGCCAATCGTAGGAGGCAATGTCTGCGAGAAGAATGAGCGATGCCAAAGAGAAACACACAGCGGCAATGGCGGTGTAAACGAGCTCCTGCAAGAGATATGGATAATCGAATTCTTAATCGAAGAGGCGTCCAGATGGCTGGAAAATCCATTCTGACAGCGTGGATCGGAGGACAAGCCTTGTATGTAATCATTGTATGTTAGAGCTCGCGAGGCCGTTCTGCGTTCTGGAGGCAATCGTTTCCGAGAGGATACCCGGCGGAGCCTCTTCCGCTCAAATTATTATCTGCCCGGCTTACTCACCCCCGTCAACCAAGGAATCTGGAATAGCGCCCTGTCGATGCCAAGAATGATGATGATGCACAGGAGCACTGTTAGGATGTAGCATGTGGCCGTAACAAATAAGAAGAATCTTGCGCAGCCCGTCAGAGCAGGTGTTGAAAATCCCAGGCATACCATTCCCAAGATCTGAAATCATTCCGACGGTTAGAGCGTCGTTTGGAGTTATTATCCGCTCCTTCTCAGAATTGAGCGCCGTCACGCGATTTGATTGATTTTCAAGTAGTTGCTAGAAGAGGAAGGACCCTCCGAATTCGACGTTCGCGGCAGACGAACACGCACGGATTCTTCGGGTGCGAGAAAATCATTCGAAGCCGTTCTTCGTCAGTCAAAGTTCTCGGTCAGGATTTTTCCCGAGAGACCCGGAAACGGACCTACGATCGATATATTCCGGACACATTCGACATCGGAGCGCCTCGATATGGATGCCGGAAAATCAGCGTGGGTTCCGACGAAGTCTCCTTTTTCGTATGCTGTGTAAGAGCACTTCATCGCAAGAGCACTCTGCTATCGCATGTATGTGTATTCTTCTGAGTAGGCTCCGCGTTCATGAGGGCCTTGGGCCAACTTCCGGAGAAGTGGGAGTCCGCCAGAGCGGCCGACATTTATGACGTAGGGATGCGGGGGGAGGGAGGGAGGGGACCCCCTACATTTACTTTCAAACGGTCAGAGCGGGAGCATCGCCGAAATATTGGCCTTGCTTTTCTCAATTCTATCGATCTTGATCAGCTGGTCTGAACTGATACGAGGCAGGAACAGAAGTCATGTCACCCGAACGTCACTCGCATTCTCAGAATTTTCTGCCATGAATGATTTTCAAGGAAATCGTCATGAAGTTCCGGAATTTTTGGAGGACTCGCCATCCGAATTTCTCGAATTTTTTGAGCATGCATCGTCACTGATTACGACCGGAGCATTCTTGCGAAAATTGTGTGGTTGTGCACGCGTTATCGATGGACCACAAATATTCTGACGAGAACACGACACGAACGTTGCGCGGGATGTCTCATGAATGACGGTGAAAATATTCTTCTGCCTCTGTGGGCGTCTCCAGCCTTCGTAGGGCCTACACGAAACAGTGCATTCGACACAACACTCCGCCGGCCATCATGACTTGTTCTGATGAAGCGGTGTTTTCTGGTTCGTTGTCGGGGTTGATTTCCACCACGCATTCGAGTGATTTCCGAAGCTAGCTCTCCGGCTTAGAGAGCAGACGGATCTGCTCAGGATCGCGTGCGACCACCTTCTCACGATGCCGAACGATTCGAGAGCGCTCTGGAGCAATAGAGTTGAAAACCCCTCTTTTATACAGAGTACTGGGCTCGTGTACTCCAATGAAGGTACTCCAATGACCCACTGACTGATGTCCGATGAAAATAAGCAAATCACCGATGCGGGAGGGGGCAGTTTTACGATGGATAGAGTGATCGATTCTGTGATGATCCGATTTCAATGGAGTCGTACGATTCAATGCCCGCACTTCAAGCCGCCTTGTTTCTGGGTCTGTCCCAACGGATTTCACCGCAGCTCAACGGCAAATCCACTTTCAGGAGAACAATCGAGGACCTTGATACGCTTGTCGTTTCCAACACGCGTCGACAGCGGCTCCACCTCCCTTGTCTAGCACTCATTCTCTCAGGAAGCGCTCCTCGTGAAAACATTGAGAAGCGCCATAATTATTCCCTGATCGAATCGATTTTCAATCATGGAAAGTGATCAAGAATTTTCTATCGATAGTAATTGGCCGATAGGGAGATCCTGGACGACTGCTGTCCTTCCCTCCGAAGAATAGGCGATTGAAATCAATCCGAGGAGCATCGGAGGGGCATCAGATGCGGGTCTACCTAATTCATCTTTCTGAACGCTTCAGCGTTTCGTTCAGACCTCTTGCTCCTGAATGAGCACGATCCCCCTCTCAAAGCTCCCGCGACGGCATCAAAAAATTCAGCCGTCCTAAAATATTCAAAACTCCCCGCGGGTGGAAAATGACTCGACTAATCGTGATACTGGAAGCCCTGCGTTTGTTCTCGTCGCTGTCGAGACGATTCGCGACATTGTCAAATCCGCGCTGACGCGCGAAGGCTCTCGGGCCTGTTCCGCAGTCGTGCGCCGCGTGAAAAATTCGAAGCGTCATTCGGTTTGTCACCGATTTCTGGTGAGCAGCTCTTTTGCATGCCCACTTTTGGTTCCCGCTCGCAGAATTAGGCTTCGCGGACTTTCATTGAGTGCTGCTCGGGATCGACAGTGGCGATTCCACTCAGAAGTCCCGCTTACGGCCATTGGCTCCATTCTCATTGTGACGCATCGCTCGCGGGGTTTTGACCCTTACCGTACTGTGATAATTGCTGCTCGCCCTTGAGAAATCACGGTGCTCACTTGCCGACTACGTAATGCCCCAGCTCCGTCGGACATCCCTTGAAGACCCATTAGTCTGGCGAAGAATGAACCGCTGCTGGGAGCTGAAGATCTTCTTGCGGTATAGCTCACGATATTTATCAGCCTGGCTCGGCTATGCAATAGGCATCGAACCCGACTCTCGGGGAGGGAATGCTCTCCGAGCGCCCGCCACCCTCCGGTGGAATGCTCATGCAATCGATTGATCGCACCTTGATGCTCCCCTCTGTGATAATCTGTTGGTTACTCACTATCTGGATGATTTTGATGATTCCTGGACAAGTTTTGAAATATCCCGGATTCAGCCGAAGCCCTTCTCCTATGGGAATCGGTTCTGCTTTGAACGTCGTGGTGAGCCTCCCCGATCGGGAAGTATTCACTTGTGTTCTGTAATCTAGCGGAGGTCCTTGGGAAGGCGACGGTTGAGGCTGCTCGTAAGGATTGTAACTCCCATCCCGCGGAGCTCGGTACGGGTCTTCGTGAGGTCGACTATAAGCCGGCTCTTGGCTCGAATTGTACGAAGATTCTCGACCGCCGTATCCAGGCTCGCGGCTGCCGAATGACGACTCTCGTAGGCCATGAGAGGGCTCTCTACTGGAATATGTTGGCTCGGCTCTGAAGGAAGGATCTGGCTTGAACGGGCTCGTTTGAGGCTGTTCGTAAGTGCGTTCCTGTACTCGGTCCGGAAAACTTCTGTCGTATTGTGCGTTCGGAGACGAGTATGCGGGCTGGTACGGCTGATGATAATGTCGCTCCATGGTCGGCGACACGCACTGTGGGGGTCAGGGGAGGCTTCTCAAAACAATTTATCCGCACTAGTCACTGGAGCAACACTAAACAAAGGGAATCGCGCACTTGCGCATAGATCTCCGTAGCGAATCCCATTCGACTTTCTCGCATCGCTTCGGCGCTGACTTCACTCGCCGCTACATTCTCCTTTCAGTCTTGACTAAATATGTCCATCGGGCCGAAGACAGACGGCGCCGTCTGGCGGGAGTGAGAGTACGCAGCGTCGAACTTGGGAAAATAGACAGACACAACCGCGCAGAAGAACACTTCAAAAAAAACACTCCATCATCGGGTTTCACGCGATCTAAGAAATTCGAGAGGTCTTCGGACTAGAATCGATGTCAATGCCCGGAGGGATGCATCAATCTTCGTCATCTCGATCTTTCCCCGTAGATCGTTGTGATTCCATCTCGCGTGGCTCAATCTTCATTCTGAGAATTAAAGAAAAGGTTTCTGCTATGTACTTTCGGGAACTTCTCTAATGAGAGAGTGAATTTTATTTACAATGCCCCGAACGATGCTCTACTTCCATGTGAATACATTGAATGGGTGGTGCACCGGATAATCTAATTGATGCGAGCTCTGCAGCCTGATACCCTATGGGGAATCGGAGCTCTCCCACATCCTCAATCACTTTACAGACTTTTATACAGACGAGTGCAACAAATGCGCAAGATCTGTGAAGATACGTCCGGGCAGTAAAATCAGGCGCTTCCAAGAGGTATATATATACGTCAAAATCGAGATCAGCTCAAGCTAACCAGCATACCTTCCAACCAGATAATAATTATTGCGATCATTCCAACAATACGGAAATGTGAGTAATGTTCGACTAGGTTCCTCCATCCACAAACTCGTCTGAGTTTTCCTAGGAAAAAATCAGTCTCTACTGAATGTGTGTTGGCTTCTGACTTTGATGGTGTCTGATAGTTCGTAGGACTTGGTGAGATTGACTCCGATGAGGAAGTTACACTCGACAATCATTCGTATTCATCGAGTTGGTCAGTTCGGTTTCTCCGGAGAGGGCGCTGAAATCTCGTTTCAGGGACTCAGCCATCGCCTTGCGGTGGATTTTCTCGGCGCGCTCCTGAACGTCCTTTCGGGACGATCTCGCGTAATCGTAAGTGAATCCTCCGATGAGACCTCCGAGCAGTGGTCCGACCCAATACACCTGGAAGAAGCCCAGTCGGTGCTGATAACGCGCTTGCTCCTTAAAATTAATAATTGTTCTAAAACACGATGTACCGTACATGTGCATATATCTCGGATGGAATACGTATTCTGGCATAATTATGGCGAGTATGATATGCTCACTATCGCAAATCAATTCGCTCATACTGCGTTCGGTGATCAGAATTCGGCTAATTGCGAAACGATCCGGGAGTCGCCCAGGCACTAGGGATCCTCGTCCCCTCCGCTAGGATTCAGGCCGAGAAATCGAGAGAATGAGCTAGGGTAATTGGCCCCGACTACCCAATCTCCCTCGCTCCCCAGGTCGGCTTCCTATCGCGCCCTCGTAATTAGAGACATTATTCGATGGGGACGGCATGAAGGCCGCTCATTCAGGGCACATTCTCCATCGTCCGCCAGGACATGGCTCTCAAGCCGGGAATGACGCGCCTTTGAATGGGATGAGAATCGACCAATCGAACAACTCGCCGCATCGCATGAATGGGGGCTCTGGTGCCCGAATTCCATTGCTGGTTCGCGACATATAGACCGAGAGCAGCCAGCACGCAAATAGAAGCCGACCGAGTTAACAAGCAAGGCGTATGCTGCAGACTCCGCGGAGAATTCTGCTGCGGTCCCGCATGGAGTACCGACTCGATTTCGCTTTGTCATTTATCCTGGAGCGGGAGAAGAGGAAACGCATGGGAAGAGGAGAAACCCATGGGGACGGGCTTCCCGCAGCTGGCTTCTGTTTGTGAGTCAGCAGGACCGTATAGCGAGGCCAACGCTCGTCCTGGCTTTTCTTGTAAGGTTCTCAGCTCGTCGACCCGCAGGACGGCGGCAAATGAGGCCGTAAGTTTGCGACGTGAGATCTAACCACCAAAGTTTGGGTATGGTCCCTGGTCGCAGCGTCGACCGGTCGACGAGACCGGATGCTCAGACTAGAATGGGCACTCGCTATCGCAAGGGACGATATGTGGACACTGCATCATTACTGACCACGGGAGCGCTGTTTAATCTCCAAGCTCTGTGGCCGGCGGGCGCGGCATGTACCCAACAATCTGTTGCTGTGCGCAATCGGTCCTCGGTAATATCGTCCAGCCAGGCTCAAAACGCAGCTCGGACGAGACGCTAGACAATAAGAGCCTTGCGTGTTTATACGACCACGGGAATGAGGCGCAATGAAAATTATTCAGTAAGGCGGCTTGCGATACTCTACGGCTTAGATTCCCGCGGCGAATAACGGGCGATTCTCTCGAGACAATCACAGGCGTTCCTGAATGTAAGGAGTAGAAAACAGTTGGGCGAGAAACGGGTCTAGACGCGATGGTGGTCCCGGCTGTTCTGCGAAATCACTTGCTATCACCGTCGCGCACTCATCCCAGGGCAAACTTCTTGCTCGACCGGTGCGTGTTCTATCGCTCCTCCCTTTCCGACAGCTAATAGGTGGAGCTCGTCTCATCGAACATTAATATTTACTTTGTCGACAATCTTACTCACCCAGTGATGATCCCATTCGTGAGTGAGTATCGCGGGTCCGAGAGCTCGGGCGGGATTGAGGCCGATTCCCGTGTACGAGAACTGGAACGAAGCGGAGGAACATTATTCAAAGGGAGAAATGAGCCACGGAACCCGCTTCGGCATATGATTTTGTTTTGTTGTATGCCTTCGACGCAGGGCGCGAATATCGGGGGTACAGGATGCCCTTCGACAAAACTGGCTGAGCGGCTCTATATTTACGCTGAAAGGAAACAGATCGAGCGTAGATAACGGAGGAGCTACCCGAGCCGCGATGCGCGCAGCAAGCCGATCGATAATTAGCCAGCCAAAATGATTGAATTCCGTTCGCGGAGGAAATTGCTTTTCGTGTCCCTCGGCGCTTGAAGCTCAGCCACCGCAAGACCCCGACGGAAAATAATGAAAGCTTGAATGTTTATGTACATGCATAAGGCGATATCACGACGATAAGCTGCTGACTCAGGGACTGCTTCCGGAGCAGCTGGATATGAACGAGAAGTCGCGAACTCTTGATCGTCCCAGCTCGATTATCGAGATAATCGTCGTCGAGATTCCTTTTCGTTTGGAGGATATGGAGCGCAGTGTCGAGCACGCAGATCATAAGAACCAGCTCTGTTGCCACAACGAGCACCATCGATGAAGGAGAAGCGTGGTGTCGATCTCCCGAATCCTGAGTGGATAGACGAGAGAATGGACTTCAATCTTGTGCTATGCTAAGGATGCATTCATCGAGCTGTAGCATCCTTTCATAGTCCGTTTATCCCGGATCTTCGTCCACTCGAGAGGAAAGACGTCTTGTTCCTCACCGAGGCGGAGAACAAAACGGCATGCTGTCGGAAAAAAGGTTTCAAGCTCGCGCTGAGACCGTGGGTAATAGAAGTGAGGGCTGAGACGAGAGAGGCTATGGTGAAAAATTCATCAGATCTCTTCTTCTTTTCCGCTGTCGCTGCCGCTCTCCAATTTTCTGTTTCGTATTCGGTAGGCATCGCAAGATACGAGCCCTCCCTCCGTTTCCCTCTTCGAAAGTCCAACTGCGCAGAGCCGCTCTGTCGTTCGCCGTATCTCTCCAATGGGCTAATCTTGGCGGATCGTTCACGAAAATTCAAGCGCCCACGATACGACAATCGTACGTGGAGTTCTACGACACCAGTCGTCATGAGGGTTGGTGGCCGCAGTCTGATATCACTTCGCAGAGGTGCAGGAAGGTTCGCGGAGGAGCGAATGCAGAAACTGGCTCCAGCAGGGGAAACGGGGACGCCCCGCAGAATCTCGCTCGCGCAGCAAGGGGTGAGCTCACAGGGACGCGACCGGTGGGGTCTCGCAAGTCGTAACTGCACGGATTCGCTCTCTCGGGAACGGTTCAGGCCTTAATTACCTTCCTCTGCTGCTGCTATTGCGGCTGACGCTGATGGTGGTGCCACAGCCGCATCCGCCGCCGCCGTTCCGAACGGCCTCCAGCGAGCCCGCGAATTCGGCTCGTGGGTTAATTTCCTGCGTCTGCCCGCTCCCCGTTCCTATGCGGGCCTCCTGCTCCTCTCGACGCAGCTTCGAGCCGCCCCGGACATGTTCAGTGCGACCTTGTTGTCTGTCCGGGAGCAGCCGTTCGTCTAGTAGCCCCTTTTCCCGGCGGACGAAAAATCGAATAATCAGCAGGAATTCAGTGAATGACGAAGAAAATCGAGTAGCCTGCGGGGGTTTGCGAGCTCGCATGTTCTTTCTTGCAAGCGCACACCGCTACTACGTGAGCGGAATCTACTCGAGCTTCTGGCGGTGGTGCTGCGGCTGTTTTTTCTCCTTGCTGCGAGCGTCGTCAACGGCAGTTCCCAGAGGATATCGCTCTCGTACACCCGAATGACCTCGTAGTGGAAGCTCAAAGCAGCTGCGAGAGCAGCTCTGTTCCCACCGAGTCTGCTAATCGTACTGCGACGGAGGACTCGTTGACGTCGAGTTCCTCGCTCGATCTTTATATCAGCAGCTTGTCAGCCGAGGCCGACGCATAGCAAGCTGGAGCACAAGTCCTCCCGACGACTTTATTCCTTTTCCTTGTGAAATCTTACTGCTGGTCTGAAGACCGCTTGACTCTCGTTCGCAGTTCGAAAACTGTTCCGGAAATCATTCCCAGCGCTGTAGATCACCCGAAATTTCGATTCTAACGCTCGGCCGGAGACAATTGGGAAGAAATAAGGAGGAAGGGAAAAGCTCATCAGTAGGCAACTCGCTGAGGTCACGGGCGGCATACGAAGGAGTTCTTAGCTATTCCCCAGGCACGCTTGACGGATGAGGTGGGTCGAGAGAGCGAATCGACGAGCTCCCGTGAGGTGCCGCACAATGCACAACCGTGACCCTTTTCCCCTCTGCCGTAACCTTCTGACCTCGTTCTCGCCTCACTCTTGCCTCCCCCCACAGGAAGCGAGTCGGCTGACTTGTGGCGCGCAGCGTGTTCCTCAATAGTCGCACTTGGTGTCCGTTCGGGCGGAACAGCAATCGTCTCGTGACATCTGGTATCTGACGTTGTATTACGACTTCCCGGTCTTTTCGAACCCGAATCGAGGCGAGCAGTAGCTCACAGAACGCTCAAGCAAGGAGGACCCCTATCTGAGAAGCCCATGTAATATCTGAGAATTTTTCGCGAATCCTCCAGGGCTCCAGATGGTGAGGGAAGTGTGGGAGAGGAGCGTGGGAATTCATGCACATTGTTACCACGAAATGAGGGTAAACCCAATGCGATTCCGATCTCGGTGGAATTCTTATCTTCCTCCGATCAATACGGAGGAAACTCATTTAGGGGCAGCACGAGAAGAGTAGTCAATGGATCACGGGAACAGCGATCAAGTACACCTATGGACTCGCCCGTTCTCGGGGATGAAGTTCCGAATATTTGCTCAGGCACGTTGTCCACGATAAACGAAGAGACACTCTCGAGTCCTTCTCCGGGCTGTTTTTGAATCCGGGCTACTTACGCGAAAATCCTGTTGGTCACTCCTGTCGTCTTTGCCCAGCGAGATAGAGGATACCAAATCCTGAAATAGGCTGCTGTCGCCTGACAATTTGCGCTTATAAAACTCGGTAGGAACTTTCGCCATTCCCGGCGAAACTCATTCCGGTCCCCACATGTATAATGCACGCCGCCTGGCCGCAGAAGGCGTCATCATCGTGGACTTTTCCCGTGCCAGGCGGGACGATGTGGAGTCGGCCAAAATCCCCCCCGTGCGAAGTCCCCGGGGCGGAGGCTGCTGTCGGTAATGTTCTCGGCGCAAGGGACTTCGGTGTAATCTCGATTTCAGCCCCTCGGAATCTCGCCTGCCTCGGACCGCCTGCCCGCTCGCCCATTCACCCGATGCGGCAGAGGACTGGAGAAAAAACTGCGATGATCTATCTGCTACGAGGTTTCCTGTTTTCTGTTTTTGTGTTTAAGCTGCGCTTCCCGCCAGGAAGCAGGCCAGAAGAGCAGAAAACCTCAGCCTGCGGGAACCGAGCATTGTTCATCCTCCCGGACCCAGCGCGTGGTGACGAACGATATGAACCATCAATGAAGGAAGATCATAGACATTATCCGACGCTCAATCAAGAGCGGCTTCCATCGTTTCCGATCCGAGATCCATTTTCGGGGTACACCAGGCCTCGTGAGCCCGAGAGCCTGGTCGGACCCTGTCCACGGATGGACTTCATGTGGATTATCGGGTTTATCCTCGGAGCCTCAGAAATCTCACCAGGCGAATACGCATGACTCTGTGGAGCAAAGAGTCAACCTAGGCCGAGAGTAAGCAGATCTCCGATACAGCAGACGAACCCATTGGGTATTCTCTGATCCATGTATAGACTCGCTCGTATCAGCTCAAAATTGGAGTTTCGGGAGCTGCTCTGTCGGTCGCGACTCGCAACTCTTGTTGCTGACTTGAGGCACAGATATTTTTCTCTTCCCTCACATCTTGTCGTAGGACCGATAGCAAAGCGGATGGGTTGGTTGGATGCTTACTTCCTCTCTCGTGCCTGTCTGGCCCGAGTCAATATTCGTTGCAATGTAGATTCCTTTTCCCTTCTCTTATCAGGAAATATCTTTTCCATGTTCCGGCTCTCGCTCGGACCGGGATCCGAGATATATGAAGTCGTCCCGTGTCTCTAGCAAGGAAATAACGAGTACGAGGCCCGTATATCGACTGGCATCCTTCAATGCCGATCGTATCTTTCTCTATCGGTTTTTCCTCCTCCAATGAGATCCTGGCTTCGCCTAGACTCCTTGGGGAGGCAGCATCCCACTGCTTCTAGAGGAAGTCCGACATAGCTCTTGGTGTGGGATCAGACGTAATGAGTCGGAACCTAGAACTCCTATCAGCGAAGGGAGACTCGCCCGCTATCTTTTGATTCATTCCGAGTGGAATCTCTCGAGTCCGCGACTCCGATTAACTCCGATTCGGGACAGATGAGCTCCGCGACGGACGTGTGGGATCCCAACTTTCAATCCCGACGATTTGAACTTTTTGTGTTGAATTTTCGAAGCTAGGGCCCGATCGAGTTCCGTCTCGGCTTCTTAAGTTCGCGAGAGATGCAGTTCTGTGACTCCTGCTGTCGGAGGAAACTTGTGCTTGCCTAAGCACATATGACCCAGCAGCACACGCGAACCGTAGGCTACGTAAACTGGAACGCAATCATCAGCGAGACCTTTGTAGACTGCCGAGACTCACTTTGCAGATGGCTCCGAGCCAAATAGTGTAAAAATTCCGTGCACTCACGGAATCCACCGATCCACAGAGCGGACCTGAAGGACAGAGTAGAGAGACGAGAGACATTGGTCGGCCTGCCTACGATACGCGGTGAGGGCGAACTCAGACACCGAGACGCTTCGAAGGTGGCCAGAGAACGATCACTACCACTCACTGGTACTGAAGGAGGATGGAGAAAGCTCCGGCGGGGGCGAGTCCGATCTTCTCTCCGCCACCGATGGATTCAGGGAGCCCCTCGTCGGTAGTCTCAGTCCAGCGACGTCTGAAATGCGGACAAAACCGCGCTCCGAAGGTCAGCTCTTTCGTCAAGAAGAACGTCGAGCGAGCTCTCCTCGGCTGACGGGCGACGGTCATCAGCGGAACTTGCATCAGACGCTCGGGTCGAAGCGGTGCCAGGGAAGAGGAGAAACGATGCGGGCCTAGTCGGAAAAACATCAACCCTGTCGTCCACAACAGTTTTTTTTCTTTTCGGGACCAAGTTCCCTAAAGAGCTCCGGCTCTTCTTCATTCTTTTCCACCCCATTACTTTTCCGTCGTGGTTTGCGACTTTCGGTAGCGGAGGATTTTTGTCTTGAGTTCTCTCCTCCACGCAACGAACTCGTCGTGAGGCAAGAATCGCGGAACTTATCGCAGTAGTTCCAGCCATGCTGAACTTCATGGAATCTGCCGCGGAGCAGGGGCAGGATAACCATGCATCGGTCGTGTCTCGTTTAGGAATAGCCGTTCTATTCTAGTAAGTGAGAGGGAGGGTGAGGCTAGAGTCGATCATTCTAAAAATAATCATTTCGGGCGACAACGTCATCGCGTGACTAGCGTGCATCAATGTCTTCAAGTTGCACGGAATGACGTTGACGTCATCCATCTTCCTTTGGCACACGCCCTCTATTGCACGACGTTGGCGCAATCGCTGTATTCATTTTGGCGACGGGTCCTCGTTGATGTTGCAGGGCATCAGCATCAGGAGCGGCATCCGGAAAGACCAGTAGAATATATGTATTTCGTTCGGGGCCCGCCACTCATTATTATCATATATTGCGCTGCAGACACGCTTTTGATGAGCAGATCCATCATGGTGGATGAGTGCATGTATCTCTCGCTGTCTTTTCTTGTTCATCTCCATTTTTTATCGCCGCTTCCACCAGGAGCTCGACTCGGGGCGGATTGGGTTTCGACGAAACGAACGTGCACGGTTTGATCGAGCGACCGTCAGAGCGACCAGCTAACCGAAGAGCCGAGCGATCGACGTGCTGCTCGCTCACTCACTGAGATGGACGAGGTCATTGCGTGTAGGGTCCGACTGAACTCAAACGGAAACTTCGGCGTTTTATCTTCGTCATCCGCCGCTTTTGTGCGCAGATCTGCTGCGGATTTCTATGCATGAGGGAAAATTTCGCGCGGATAAAGCCGACATGCTCCGTATCTCCATGAATTCATCAGGGTTCCAGTAATCGGCTGGTTCCGCTATCCTCGATTGCTCGGTCACGGAGCCCAATGAGCCGGAGGGAATTCTCCTCGTTCGGAAAGTCGATAATGACTTAGAGTGTTCGAGCTGGGAAAAAATCGCAAACGCGTCGATCGGCGGAAAATTATGAACCCGAGCTGAGAATATGGCAGCGCCCGTATCTCTGGTTGAAAAGTGTAACACGAGGACGCGCTTCTCTCAGAGACGAAGGGTATCGGATTCAGGATACCATGGATGTCTCTCAGTTGACGGGAGCAAGGTGGAACGAGACGCAGAGGAGTAAATGAGGCGAACGATTTTCGAGCGTCGATGATGAGTTCGTCCGGAGAGGGAAAACTCATCCGGAGAGTCGGGGAGTCTGATCGCGGATGTTTTCTTTGAGTAGCTCGTTTCATTCGTGAGTTCGATTCCCGCGACGAGATCTAGCATTAGCTCTCGTGCTCCGGGAGGATCAATTATTCCGGAGTGATACTCCGCGGACCCGAGACCCCGGACGGGTAGTAGCAAGGCTCCAGTTCGGGGTTGGGGTCGACGGGGCGACGGTACTGTGCTCCGGACTCCGGACCCGAGAATGTCGACCGCCCCGTTTGATCGTGTCGCCGCGTCGATATCTGACCAGAAGAGCCGGAAGGATCGTGCGCTCATCCCTAACTTTTATGTTGTAGGCAATCGAAATGGGCCTTCGAGAATACAGCCTCGCTCATGTCGACGATGGATTCGTCGATGGAACTCTTTCATGCAAATGATGAAAAGAAGATGAGACTCACCGAGAATAGCGTAGCCGCACCATAAGCAATTCCGACGGGGAACGCTTGGAATTTCAACAAGCCGGTCTCGACGTCGTCGTCTGACGTGAGAACTGTCAGAACGATCACGAGTGAGCCCAAGAACTCTACTCCGAAGATTTGGCTCAGGTTGAGCTTGGACTCCACTAATTGGAAGAACTCGTTACGCAGAGCAAAAACCAAGACGCTGCCTGCGATAGCACCCACAGCCTGTACGAGTACAGAGGCGAAAAACTTCAGAAACGATACTTTGGCCACGAGGAAGCGGGCGAGGACAACGGCCGGATTGAAGGCGACTCCGTGGAGGGTATACGTCAAGAGGGCACTGGTGCAACCGACCGCTAGACTCTGCCGTACATCGGACTCTTGCGATGAGGCACTTGCGATCACTGTAAGAATCAAGGTAGAGATGAACTCGGACCACACCGACATCCAGAAGCGCCGCGATTTTATTTCATCGCGCGGTTTCGGCGGTTCCTCTGGCAGAGAGTCTATGTAGCGAAGCATTTCTTCTACGGGAGATTTCACTGACGCTGTGTTATTGTTGACCACTGAACACATTGCTGTCGACGCAACGAAGAAGTGCGGAGACTGCAATCGGATTGGCACTGGCACGTCGTGGATGCTGTTGGGCTTCCTGGACAACGAGTCCGTTGTCTATCCGGGGTCGCCGATCATTCGATAAATGACGTGGGCCTTGTTTATATCCTGTGGGCTATTCACTGCATGCTTGCAGGCAACGTGTAGCAGGCCTCGTGCCCGTGCTCGAGGAAGAAGGCTGTGTTGTCGTTTTCCCCGTGGGTGGAGTTGGACCCTTCCCTTCGGTCCTCACCCTAGGGGTGGAGACAGCCTTCGAGCGGATTCGAACTCCGCAATGTTCTTCCGTGCGAAGCTACATGTCCGCACGGTGGTGCGCCTAATTGATTCGACCAGCGGCTAATCGTTTGCACGCACTCACGCTCCATTTAAGGACTTTCATGCATGCCCGCTCGCTCAAGGCGGTAACACGTTTCTCAGCTCCAGAACAGTGTGCCGCGGTCTTTCAATTGTCCCGCGGAAGGCTCCTTGCCCCGGGGGGACTCGCTCGGGGCTTCTCACGAATGTGGCAACGGGAACTCGGGCAGGAGCCTCCGCGGACGCTCTCGCCGATCCCAGCTCGGGCGCCCGCGCTGCGCGATTCCATGGCGCCGGCGTCGAGTCCCTGGGTGGAAGCGCTGGACGCGCTGGACGCGCTGACTACGCGACTGTTTCATCGGTACACCCCACCGATCCTTGCCGTTCTCCGAATTTTGCGTTCGCAAAGAATCCACGACGCTTGATCGCACATTCAGTAGGTCACAAGAGATCTCTTGGGAGAAGCGTCTGCGAAGGAGGAGAGGACGACACTCTCTGACTGAGCAACGAAGCCTTTAATATTGGGTATATCGGAGCGTGGCACCGTGTATAAGGTACACCGACCGAGTTCATTGTTAGCCGTGATGGATTTCTAGCTCCGTCATCCGGAGTAGGCCCGGGTCTTCCGCGGGCCTGGAAGATTCCCAACACAGAATGAAGAGATCATTCGACTTCCATTCCCGTCAAAACTTTGCTTTTATTGCTCTGTGCGATATCTTTCGTCGTTCAAGCCATTTATTTCTTTGCCGCAATTATACGAAATCCAATCCGTCCCCCAATAACTCCGTAGAATTCGAGAATCCTCTCCCTCAATTTTTCTCAGAATATTCCATGATTTTCCCGCGATTCCCGAGCCCCGTGTTCTTGGAAGGACCAACGCAGCTGATTTCAGGCGACACCCTGCCCTGAGAGTTCCATCGGCTGATTTGTCCACAGGCTTCCTCACCGTCGAGTATACTTGGTGCGAACGGCAAACTTTTGAGCTTATTTCCTGCACCTTCCTTCTACCGTCAGAGGACCCCATTCCCCGTTGTCGCAGCTGGATCCTGTTCGAGGTCCGAAAATTAAATAAATATCTCCCCGCTATTAATATTAGCTTTCACACCGTGACGTTTGCGATTTTGAGTTCCGGAGTGCTCTCTGACTCTCTCAGAACTGAGGGAAATCAAACGTCGAGTATCTTCGGCTCTCGGTTCCTTGTTGCTGCTGGTTCGGGACCGGGTTGGGTTGAGGTTTGGGTTCAGGCTGAGCGTTGAGAACTCGGTCGAGGACGTGAACTACGCCGTTGTTCGCTGTCAGGTCTTTATCTTCCACCCTGGCTCCCCCGAAGTAGACGTGGCCTCGGAGTGAACGCTGGGCAGAGACGGATTTTCCGTCGAGATTCCTGTGCTCTTGGACGGCGAACGCGTTGTTGTGATTGATACCTCCCGAGCAGAGCATGTCGGGAATGATGTGGGTTTTAACCAAGGCCTCAACGCCTTCGCCCTTCTCGAGGGATTCCATTTCCTCGCGGGTTAGCTTCTTGAAAGCCTCGTCTGTCGGGGCGAGTACGGTGAAAGGTCCAGCGTTGTCTTTGAGTTGGCTTTCGAGGTTGGCCTTTGTCACCAGCTTGCGGAAAACCTGGAGGTTCTTGTTTTTCTCGAGGAGTTCCCAGATCGACACCTCGGGCTGACGGAGGACTTTGTCCACGAAGTATATCGAGCCTCCGCACACCTCAGTGGGACGGCTCACGACTCTGGCGCACTGCGCTGTGTAAGTGGCGTCGTCGAAGTTACTGTTGCGCGAATATACGTTCACTCGGATCTGCGAATTCTCCAGCTGAGAGGGCATGATCATGTTATTGAAGAGGGACTTGAGTCCGATTTTACTCTGGGTCGTGTGATACAGGAACAGAGGCTGAATCTTCTGCTCCTGTTTCATCGAATCCCACTCCTTCAGGGAAACGTCTTTGATGGCTTCTTCGGTGGGAGCGAAGAAAGTGAAGTTCTTCAACGTGGCGAACCTCTCACCCAGCTGATTGCTTTCGATCAGATGCACGAGGTCAGTGAGTTTGTGAGCCTTCAATGTATCCAGAAGTGATTTGCTAGTCTGTGACAGCATCACGTTCTTGATAGCGTGGACGACTCCGTTGGTGGCAACCATATCCTTATCTTCAATTTCGACGCCTTCAGCTGTTACACGACCGTCGGGCGTTTTCTGGAGCATGATCGGCGATCGGAGAACGTTGCGAACGCGAGCTTGTTGAGGAACCGCCGATGTACAGATGGTGTGAGGAACGACGTGTCCTTGGAGTAATTGATCGACACACCCTGCGAGCGCACGGAAGAAGAAAGGTCAATTTTTGAACGAGTCGAGCCAGCGATAATTGCACGTTGAATAAGCCTCCGGCGTGCCGAGAACCGTTGAATGTCTCTCGAGCGCGTAAGGTGTAGATCAGAAGTAACAATCCCGACGATCGACAAGAATGGGGTCAAAGACTCTCTGAGAGCGTACCTTCTCCGTTTCTCCACATTTCAAGAGTTTCGGCGTCGATGTCCTTGAATGCGTCCTGAGTGGGAGCGAAAACCGTGTAGTGAGCCTCGGGGTCGTCGAGCTTGTCTAGAAGTTCACCGCTCCTGGAGAGAACTAAGAGGGAGAAAAAAACAGGAGGTCAACGATTAGTAAGGGGAAATTCCCTCAATGTTACCGGATAAGGTCGCTTGCCGTACTTTTGAGATTTTCACGTACTTTCGTTGAAGGTCTCGAACTTGGGATCGTTTGCGAGGATTTCCTTCACGCTCTTCGAGGGCGTAGGCAGAGTGCCGTCGACAACGTGAACGACTCCATTCTTGTGGAAATTATCCGCAGCCACGATTGGCACGCAATTGGCAGTGAGCACCTGGAGTGACATGGATTTATCTCTAATACTCGGATACGGGAACCATATCGGAAGGAATACTCGAGAATGAGAGAAGCCCGCTCACCTTGTGTGGGTTGTAGAACTCGTTGAATCGTATCGAACTCTTTCCGTCCAAAGTCACGATTTTCTGCTCGTCCACAAGATCCGCGAGCTGATAATATCCCTCGACCATATGACTGTTCGCCATATCGGCCGGGGAAACCTCGTTCTTGTCGTCGGTTTCTGCTTTCTGTAACAGGAAGTTCATCGAGTCTCGTTGGGAACCATTTGTGCGAGGATTCTCGGTCTCAGCCGGAGTCGTCAGAACGACAGGGTTCGATTGACTGACCTTAGCCTCGGCGATTTTGATGGCAGCGTTCGTGGGCGCGAAGACGGTGATGTTCATGTCGGCTCCACCTTTCTTGGTGATTTTCGCATCGTCAACGAGTTTTCCGAAATCATTAGTTCCAATAATCTGGAGAGTCTCGCTCAAATCCTGGGAGGAAAGAAATTGACCGTGAATGCCGACTCTGTACGAGAATGGAAAGTCCCCATCGCCAGAGTTCCTGACGGAACTGCCCCCTCCATCGGGCATTCATCGATTTCCCGAATTGTCGGCGACCATAGGCGCAGTCGTCCGCTCCGGAATCAGCTCCTCTGGAATCTTCGAGAAATTCAAATGTGGAGTCGTCTGCCATTAGATTCTCAGGGCGTTCCAGAAGCTCCATGGGAACTACTCAATCTTGCGAGGACCCTTGAACACGAGAGGCCCAGAATCGATTCAGATGGATTCACGCCGCGGTTCCTCATTGAAGAGCCGTTCGTCTCGCCTGAGGAATTCCGCCTTGCGCCCGGCCGAACACCTTGACTGCAAGCAATATCAGTATCGAGCCACTTGCCCAATGCGCTTCGACTAGTTTGCAAGCCTTGTTCGAACGATTCTGCTAGAGCTGTCTAACTGGCGCCAGGCTCTGCACTTACGCTGCCGAACTTCAAGAAGTTCTGATAGATCAAATTCAACAGCTTCGGATCGTAGCAACGGAGTCTAGAATTCTGATTGTGCTCGACGGAAATTCGGCTCTCGACGAGCGTGAGTAAGCGGACGACCCCCATCGTCGACAGAAGAATCAATTTCCACCAGCAGGGAAGCGACTATGTGTGTACTATCATTTGGGACGGGAGCCAGGAAAAAAGTCCGCGTAGATTTGGCATCGTACCGGAGGGAGAAGCTTCCACTCACAGGTCCTCAAAGGTTACGAATCATCGTTCGAATACAAAAACACTCCCCGTCCGTCTCAAATGGGGATTATTCGTTGTGAAGCGGTATTGATCGACTGAGCTGAATCGGTTGACGTGACAGTCGGACTGACGACTGTTTTCTTGAACCGGTATTCAGCGTTACTTAATGAGAATCACATCGATTGGGATACAATTCTGATAGGTATCAGCTGACAAATCCGAAACGAAGCGGCAGAAGATAGTCGGTGCAAGTGCTATCGGAGCTGATGTTGTCACTCGACCTTGACTCACCTTGAGATCAGCTTCGACACATCCGGGTCCATCGGGCCTCCGAGTATATCCGTGGCAGCAAGTATATTTTTCAACCAAGTTCTTGCTTTCGTTGGCTGTGCGAATCTGTGGAATAATCGTCGCCGATTACGAGAGGCAACCCGTCAGCTTAAGTTTATGCGAATTCTTCGCTTCGAAGTGAACGCATCTAACTAATGCAGGAGCTGGAAGACTCGCGGAAGCAATTTTTCATGAATTCGGCGGCCTAGTTTCCGTATGACTGGAACGTAGTGAGAGCAACGAGGCCCCCGAATAGTAGGAAATTCGCCAGGTCACTTGGCTTACTTTGGTGATGCAAGTGTGAGTTGTCAACGACTCTGAGCATTGTGTCGATTGCAGGGAGAACAGGAGCGATTCAGGGGACACCCCCTCGACTTCTTCTTCTTTCTTTGTCATGCAGACGTGGGCCCTGGGGGTGAGAAATGAGACTGGTTCAATTTCGATCCACGATAGAAAATTCCAACCTTTGGAAGGCATTCGAGTTCCGTTGCCTCGAGGCAGTCTTGCGCACTCATCCAAAGCTCTTTCCAGGAGCCCATCTCCCAGAGTTCTTTTTTTCGATGAGGAGAAACCCATTGCTACACACTCAATGAGGTGGTTCCGCGATAATCGGATCGAGCGTCCGATAATCGAGCGTCTATCGTTATCTCGTGCTCACGGGACTGCCTCGCGACCCGGCCCGAGCCTCGCGTACCGAGCGATGCCCACAGAGGACCCCTACTGGGTGCCTGCTTCAACCCCTATGGCGATCCCGGCGTTCTACCTGTATAATCAGGCTGGCCATTGAAACATCGAGTAGATACTCGGCAATGCCATGATAGCCCGAAGTCCGATGTCATGCCGTCTTCGTAAACTCATGAGAGGATAAAAATTGTAAATAGGAATCGCCAAAGTCGACTGCGTCGAAGCCGATGTCGTATCATCGACCGAGGGAAGCAAATTTGAATGCATGATTCCGCTCTATCACCAGAACATCGGTGGCATTGCGCTGACGTTCCGTGTTGAGTTATCGGCGTGCCTCAACCCACGCTCTGATAAAACAGGGTCTCTGCTGCTTCGCATGATCACGCCGGTTGACTCGTCTGCATACGCTTAAATAATTCTAGCATCTTAAACCAAAAAGTCAGCTCAGAGAGATACATTCGACTCGTGCGCGAGCGCCCACGGACTCGTCAGATGGGAAGCTTGCTTCATTTGGATATTTGTGATCGAGATCTCAGGAGCTCCAACGCTGTACCCGGTACTTGTGCTTGGAGCCCGTATTCAAGACGAATCCGTCTTGCAGGCCAGGATTCTTTTCCCTCTCGCGGAAGGTATCGCTTCAAGCTTTCAATACCTGCCGCTAATCGTTCCTTGTGAATGATGGGACACGAAGCTTTCGGAAAACGACCTCGATATGACATGTCCCCATTGCTGGGGAAGAAGAAGAAAATGAACAATCCATGCCGCTCTAGCTACGGACGCCTCTCTAATTGAAGCAAGGTCAGTCACTCGCTGACTGGAAGGAAGACTTCGCTGAGAACAAAACCGGCGCCGGCGCCTAAAGAGCCGCCATGCGGCGAACAATATTTTCTGAAGGCTTTGTTGAACAGACTTTTGTTGACTCCGGCTCCAGCCCCGCCGTTTTAATGAAGACACCCGACCGCGCAGTGCGACAGAAGATTTGAATTGCTAGTGAGTCCAAGGCTCGACCCATCCGTTTGGACAGGAGGAAGCAAAACCCCGAATCGTAACTCAGGAACGATTCAGAGCAATCCCGACGGTCTTGTCGAGCTTCGCCACATCAGGAAGTCGCGCAAGTCGAACTGAGATCGGAGAAGATGGTCATCTACAGGCATCGGAGGGGATTCCAAAGCAATTTACAATGAGATAATTTCTCCGAAACTACACAAGTTCGGCTCTCGAAGTTGCTCAAGTTTTGCGAGCCGCATTGTCCGAGAAAGTTGCTCTCAGATTCTCCTATGGCTTCTTCACGGCGAATACGAGTTCTTCTATTTCTGACCATCTTTGGCGTGTCTGAGAACTTCGGGATGAGAACAAAGATTGAGCCAAGACGTGGATGAGACATGCAAAATCTTCTATCGAATAAACGATGGGAACGAGTGCAGCTATTTTCCCAGGGAAGTCGTTCTTCCGATTCAATTGATGACAACAGACGGTACGAACCTTGACCGTGAAGTCTGTATTTGGCTACATAGGCTTTCGACATTCGAACAGACCGTGTCGTCATGAGGTGGAACAAGTTCACTGACTAACTACATACTCAGGGCGATGGATCGTTCATTTACTTTGCAGCATAAGCAGCAGAGACATGAGGATCTCGATCAATGATTCCAGTCACTCACCCTTTCCACCATGGCTGATTTCCGAACGGTGCGACCGAGAATATTCCGTTGCTGTTGCTGTAAGGCCGTAGACCCCCTCGGCCCTGTGTTGCAGAAATGTGGCGGTTGAAGAAATTGTCGAATGGGGTCTGTCTCCGATTCCTGCAGCGGAGAAAAGAAACGTCGAGTCAATTCCACCAATTTAATGAGCTGCTACGGTCGGAATCCCAACGGATAGATCCCTTACGTAAAAATGAAGGAAATTGAGAGAAACTGGGAAACTCTGTTTAGAGAAGGAGGCGACCCACGTCAACCTCAACTCTAACTGAAATGACGATATCTGATGAAAACAGTATTGTGCTACATGAACTCATTGGTTGGAATTGCTCGCCATCGAGCTCCATCCAGAATCTGGGATATTGCGGCCGGTGAGCTCGTGCATCATATCAGAGATCCTTCCGGGGCTCCCGGGGACTTTCTTTCCATTATTGCAGCGGGACCAATCCCAAGTGAAGTCACGTAAATCATATGCTCGTCAGCCAAACTCGAGAGAGTTCGCCAACGCGAATCAGCGGCGGGAAAATGCCAAGGCGCAGAATTCATTCTCTCGAAGATGATGAGTCGCGGAGCCTTCAATTTGCGAACTGTCAGAGATGACGTTGACGTCCGCGAAGAACTGATGACGATGCCATCCCGATGTTGTCGAAATATTTAGAGGGGCGCACGACTTTGCTGAAATTAATGAAAGATCGTTCCGGATGGTCCAGCGCCCGCTCCAGAACGCAGGGACTTGTGGAGCGATGCCAACAACTCCAAAATGTTCGGCGCTGTCACTTTCATTTGGCCTTCAAGACTTCGGGCTAGCACAAGCTCGCGCATCAAAAGCGGGCTGATTCGCAATTCAGAAACAACAATCGATCGGCAAACAAAATCTGGAAGTACCATGGATTTCTCTACGTTGTCCTCCATTTGACAATCGACATCATTGGAGAGAGGGCGCAATCCCTGACGTTGAGTTGATCTCGTCCTTTCCCCTCCAAGTGCCCTTATCCGATGCCTCCTCTCCAGGGTGAACTCCTATCGATTTCACGTCCATGGAGTGTAAGGGGGGCGTGATCGAGGAAAAAAATACCGGGATCGATAAGAAGCAACACAGGAGGCTGATTAATCATTGACAGACTTCCGTTCTCCGGCCTATCTCCCCACTTGTACCTACTATTCAATAGATTGAATTGAAAAGGGTATTTCTTACACGGTATGCAACTCAAGGAAACCCGAGGCATTTGAACATGCACCTTCTGACGATGACATTGGCGCATTGGCTGAAGGGTGCATCTTCCACGGACTTAATGCCCGAAGTTCAGCGAAATTCTGATATTTTGAAATGTCCCGGAGACTTAAAAAAGCCGGAAATAAAAAACAGCATGCCAGAAACAAGAAACAACTGGGGAGCTTTCCGAACTGACATCATCCGCTGCCATCGTATTTTTCCCGTATACAACCATGCGCTTCCACCTTGTTTACTCCTATACGTGGACTCGTCGTATCGATCGCCGCAGTAGCATCGTGGAGTTCCGGTGGACGAACGCACGATTCTGGTGCTGGGAAGCGGGGGATTACGCCCGCACACTTTCGAATCTGTCGGTGATTTCATCACGAAGCATGTTCAACATCGTCAGAACCGGCACCGAGCAACGACTTCAGCAGCGGCGGCGACGACATCATCGCTCCCACTGGCAGACGAAGCAACTCTCGCGCCGGCATGCGGCAATGCGATCGTACAATTGACTGCAGTGTTCTCGAGGAATTGCATTAAAAAACACTCAAGAAGCGAGAACATTCCGTTCGGTGGTTGGCGTCAACGATTCCGCGCAGAGGACGTACAGAAGAATTTTCACGTGGAGCAGAAAATGAAGAAACCTTACATCATTCCGGCCGTTCATCGGTAATCGTTCTCTGTTCCGCAATCAGACAGAATTACTTAAGAAACAGAGGAAGACGTCGACAGAGATGAAATACCGAGCAGGAAAACACCTCCGCAAACGTTTAGCCCATCGGACGTGGAAACGAGATTGAGGCAACTTTCACAACGAGGCAATAACATCTTTTAGGAGTTTCCGGACAAGTCTGGTGCGAAATTCAACTTCTGTCCCGGGTCCTTTCACTTTCGAGATTCGAGTGTTGCAGCTTGCCGACTCCTCAGGAACCATTGGAGCGGAGGATTGCCCTCCGCGCCAGCGGTAGTCTTAAGTTTTGTTGCGCGAACCTTGTCTCGATGTAGAGGTCAAGGTGAGACTTATGCCGCTCAAAAGAGTTGTTGTCAGCACCGGGCCCCCGTTGGCCACGCGGAAGACAGTTCAATAATGGGATCAATCAATTCAGAAAACTCCTCTGGACGGAAGTAGTTCGCAATGACGGACTCGCAAGTGAGCGTGAACTCCACACCGGGCTCCGTCTTCAATTACAGAACAGGGTCCCGGATCGATGGAGTTGCTCAGTCGCCTCGCGGTCCCGGGGTGACCTTTCCAGTCGACCCGTCAGTATTCCACGATTCCAAATGACCCGCTTGTGTGGTACTGTATATCACGAGCGGTGTTGATGAATCTCTATTTCTAACTTCGGTCGATGGTTGAAGAGACGGTTCGGTCGATCACTGGAAACACGAGGAAGCCTCGCATGTCAGCCCGATGCATCATTGTGTGTGCGTGAGCGTCACACTTTCAGCCGAAACAGTTATTTCGTTAGAGGTGAATCTTCACGCTCCGCTGCATAGGGACGCCCGTTCTCCCACATTGTTTTCCTTCAGACGAGACTGCGCGCGCTGGCATCGCTCAAATCTCAGATAAGTTGGTATCGACGATTCTGCTCGCTCGCTAGCCTGCTTGATCCATTCCCGCTTTAAACTCGCGCTTCTAATCGCTACGAGAATCGGATCCCGATCGAGAAGAAGCACCGGGGGAGTCTTCGATTAATCACCCCCGGCTCAGCTGACAGCGAGCTTCAGGGGAAACTCCTTACATGTCTCCGATTAGAGCGTGGTGCCGTCTTTTGTAGGCCGATTCTGTCCAGTTAGAAATGACCACACCCGATTTGGGCCGGCGGTTTTCTCGGTCATAATAGTAACAATATGTCTGCTATTGTGCTTCACGCCTGGCCCGCTTGAAAATCCGTCACACCCTCTAGAGCACTCGTGTCAAGTGTGACTCGCCTCACTTTAGTGACATCTCACACGGACGGGCAGCCTGCGAGTCGCAGAACTCCAGTGGGACAGGAGTTCTCACAGATATCGCCCACGACCCGAGGAACGACGATAAACTATAGAAAGTCTAGGAACGATGCTGCGGACCGTCTGAGTCGGATAATCGGATAGTCCGCCTAATCGCCGCGAAATATCCCGGTCCGGAAAATGGGATTTCAGTATATCCCAATATAGAACCTGATGGTGTCCCCATATGCGACAACCGGCTTCAGGAGGTCCATGATCAAAAAAGAAAGATGATAGCTGTTGGACAGAATATATCGTTGGTATCCAAACTACAGGGGGAGATTATCCGAGAAGGTGATTGGCGTGATGGGATGTCTATATTTGAAGTTAAAACAGATTGGGTAAGAAGGCTAGGCGACAGGTTTCTCGGGCGAGGAAGCAAGTAGCAAGCGCCGGGTGAAACAACCGCCGAGAAAAGTAGCTGCTCATTCCGCGTATCTGAATATCGGCCCGTCACGTACACCTGAAGATTCTGGCAGCAGAACCCAGCAGGTTCTGCTCTGAAGATCATAGTCTTTTTCTGGAAGAGCAGCTCCACCTGAGGAGCCCTGTGGGCACCTCGCTACTCATTACGTCACTTTTTCCAGAGCCCCGGTCGGCCGGTTCCGCGTAATGGACAGACCGAGCACGGGAGCGATTTCCAAACGACGGCAACATTGAGAACCAGATTTTGAGAAACGATGCCCGGTACAAAAAGAGATGGGTGCGACCCCTGATGAATGACTCCTGTCCACGTTCATGGGACCGAGAGGTTCTTCTGATGTTCTACAAAGTGAGAGTGAAATCTCCAAATTTTCTGTCGCGTTTCCCTCGGATGTACGAGAAGGTTTCCTCCGATATTCCCCCGGCTGGGTGGTATCAGTGGGTTATCTCCAGCATTCGCGACCGATCTCAGACGTGAGAATGAATCGCCTATGCTTCATGGGTCCTTCTACACCGTTGAGGGTGCCACCTAATACAGAGATTCTCGGATCGACGACACCTCACGGACCTATCATCTGACGAAGTAACAATTCTCATCTCTCACCTATCGCTCACCTGTTATCTTTTTTATTGTTGCCGTCGTTTTGTGCGAGGACGAGAACTCCGCCTAGAACCACGACACCGAGCCACCTCATGCTGATTCCGACCAGCATTGCAAAACAGTAAGTATTGAAAGCTCCTGCACTTTGCACCTCGGTCCGACGAAGATGCGCGTTTTATAGGACCCTCTTCAGGTGAGGGATGAAAGGCTGGCGGCTTGGCTGACGGTCTAACCGGCGGGCCGTTTCGTTTCATGCTCGCTGTTGTTGGTAAGACACGACAAGGGAGAGCGCGCCAGATCTATCCGGAGCAGACGACAAGCATCTTCTGAAATGAAGAGCAGCTGCCGGTTCGACGCGTCTCCCTTCGGCAGGTTTTCTTTCGGAACTCGAACGTGTACACAAGCTCGCCCCGTGCTCGGAGGACTCCGGCTCTATGTAACTTATTATCGAAAGGGATAAACGTACGGGAACGAAGGTCGTCCGCAAATTTGTTCTGAAGCGCATATCTTGCCATGGTTCCCGAGACTACGAGTTGGATGAAGACCGCGGCTCAACCTATCGGTGGACGAGATCAAGAAAAAAATCTTGGTCTATCCGAAAAGTTGATCCACCATCCCACACACGGCCCATCGACATTAGAGGAGAAATCGGGTGCATCTAGGTATTCTGTATGGGGAGATGAAAGTGAAAAGCGGATGCCCTGTTTCCGGAATTCGGTCTGGTTCTTGGCACGGGAATTTTGGCATCGATGCTAAGTGTATTTCGGAAAGAACCGTCATCGATGGGGGTCTGTACGTCTAATGAGTGACTCATCGGCTCTAGCGAAGATCCAGATCGAACGTAAAATATGATTCGATAGTTTCCTTCTGGACATCTATCGCTTCCCATGTAGCGTGGCCTCCTCCACTCACTCCATTTATCATAGGCTCCGCGACTCCTCGACCTTTCGTATGAAGCATGCGATGAGCGAAGATTCTTTTTGGAAATTCCTGGGACAAAATTCGTCGGAAGCCACCAGCCTACTTCACCGTTTTCTCTGGCCTCAGTCATCATCAGAAAATCGCTCAGGGAAATGACTCTATGAACGAGATGCGATCGCAACGAGCGGCGTCCACGGCGAGCTTCACATGGGCGTCAAGACATTCTCAATACTGGGAGACGTTTTGCATCCCAAATGAATGCTCGACCACAATAATAATACTAACAACAGCTCAACGTCGAGAGGTTTCACAGCGAGTTTCTCGGAAGACATTTCTGTGCTTGTGTCATAATCGATCCACGCACCACCCGTGGAAAGTCTCCACATCACGGCCACAGAATTTAAGCATGCCGAGCGATCGGACTGAGAATTCATCAAAATCCCCATAGAGCTCGGGGAGTCGCCCTAATTCTGTCGATTCTATCCCGGGAATCATGCGAAAAATCGCAGAGCTCGATCGGTCACCCCGTTTTGAAATATGCGGATTAGAGGAGAGAATCGCTGGACCATGATCTTTCTCGCTGCTTGTAAGAGTTGTTTGAGGGAAGGCTTCGTGGATCATAGGTATCAGGAGTCATCTTCTAAGTACGTTCCGGTATCACCCACTAAGAGCTCGGACCATCGGAACTCCCAGTGCGACTCCCAATTGGATACAAACACGGAATTTTCATTCGATAGAAACAACAAGTCGATGTTTTCCACGGAAGTAGACAAGCTTGAAAGGTATTGACAGTTGACAACGAACCGAAACCAACGACCCGTTTTCGATGTTTGACCGGGCCGCCAAGGCCTTCTTCTCAGTTTTTGATTGAGGTCCATCTCTTCAGAAGTAGCCTCAAGCACTCGACAGCTAGCCAGCAGTCACATCAGATCAGAATTTTTGAAGCTTGAGGATCCTTGGAGTGCTGAAAGCGTCCACCCCTGTTGACATCATGAGTCTTGCTCATGATCGCAGACATGACGCTGCATGTATTCGGGTATTTTCAAGAGAAAAATTGAGTGAGCAGATCATTGAGCCCGTCCTCATTGAGGGGAATACCTCACCATTTCTGAATAATCACCATCCACGTCCTGAACGCGGGAGTTCTAGAAGCTTAGCGTCTCTGAGAATTATCTCACCAGAAAAAAAACGTCCAGGGAAAATGCGTGCAATTAGTCAGCCGTCTGATTTAATCGAACAACTCGTATTGAATCGATGGAAGTAATATTCAATTTCCACCAAAGATAGTTTCTGCTCTTTCGGCGCCGCTGGAAGAATACTGATCAGCCGTTTTTTTGCGGTGGAGAAGTACAGCGGCGAGAGCCACGAGCACGGGCGCAACGAGAAACAGGTTTGCGCTCGCGTATTCTTCGTCCCCGTATTCTGGTTCGAGTCAACGATCTCCCATCGAGCGACCGGGTGTCGGTCAAGCCATTGTTTCTGGAGCCACGACGACGGTAAACATGTCTCTTTCGGTGGGCGTTGCCCTCTCCGGGCACCGATTCGTAATTGTCAAACAGCGCTCCGAAAACGTCGATAGCAGCTCCGGAGACGGTCGATACGAGAACGGGTCGGAAACAAGAAACTAGGTGCAGACGAAAGAGGATCAGAGGCTTTCAATGCCGTTCAATGATTGGGAGAGCGGCACTCGACGTTTGGACTCGGTGCCGTAGAACGAATTACCTTCGTAAGTTAGCGCTAGTCGCTCGCTAGGGGACGCTGAGAATAAGATTTGTCGTTAAGTGTCTTGTCACACCGATGGACACATTTATCGATGCTGATCGTCGACATAGCGATATCTGAAGAAAGTGTTCGTAGGAGTGTCTAAATATGAACGCATGTTTTCTTTTCTATCGATATTTTCGGGCGGCGGTGGCGTTTCGAAAACAAAACTCCCACTGCTCTGATGTTGCATTTCTATTCCCGGGGGATGGTACGGCGCCGGCGTGGCAAACGCAACGACAAGCAACTTGACAGAAGAGGATGCAACGCGTATATCATGAAGATCAGGAGAGTTTTTTTTCGAACTTCAGAAGAAGTCTCCGAACTACGAATCGCGATGCGCGGAAAGTGATTTATCGGTATGACCAATATTCCACCGAAAACGAGCGAGCGAACAACGAAACATTTTTTTCCGAAATCATTCAGATTCTGTGAATATGAGCTGCCAATGGGTGGATCGTGGATATTTATTAGCCTTGCGCAAAGGAACAGAAACAAGAAGGATTGGAATCCGAATTTTCCGCTCGGATTCAAGGGCCGAAATAGGGACGTTGCTGAACAATCGGAAGCTGATCGAGGGAATACCGCAGAGGTGGTTCGAGTCTGCCATCGTTTTCGGGTAGTGTTTGAGGCTCTTTCGCGTTGATTTCACGATTGCCTCTGAAGAAGTCCGGCTTCACCCTCAGAGCTTGCTGGTGGAGGTTCGGGTCTTGGGCTTTTCCAGCTCGACCATTCTCTCTTGGCGAGCTGTCAGCTTCAGGAAATCGTTTCAGGAGCGCACTAGGATCCCTGAGTCCAGCTCCAGGTGTTTTTCCCTCGGGCGATTCCCCGCGAGGATTGTGCGAGTCTTCGTTCTCCGAGTCTCTCGAAGATTTAATGTCATCCGGCTTTGCATCGTCTATCAATTGCAGCGGCTCAGGACGTCTGCGTTCAGCAAAGCTTTCCTTCGGGTATCGCGAGGGCGAGAAGAACCTGTCGGATGGTCTGCTCAAAGCCGGCGGCGGGAACACCTGCTCGTGTGGAAAAGGGTTTTCAGAGTACATAGGCGGCCTCGACCTGCGTAAATTACGCATAATAGGGGACTGGAGACGGCATCTTTCCGGGCAGGAATATTCCGCGGAGAACCCCTCTCTCTAATCGTGATTCTTGGGCCGCGTAGGCTATTCCGCGTGGAGCGACCGAACCCTTCCGTATCGAAGGGTTCGGGCTCCGCAAGCATCCGGCCCCCGTAAATCAACTGTACCTCGGAGGAACTGGGACGGCTTACCGATGGACTGTTCGACTCGGGGGCTTGCCCAGTGTAGAACGGAGGAGGTTCCCTATCGTTTTGCGGAGTACCAGCGTTTATTCGCTCGTAGAGAGGCCGAGAGGGCGTCGCGGGACCAGGCGAATCTTCCCTATCCTCGTCATCCTCTATGGACTGGGCCTGCAGAGGGGAATACGCCGGCGAATGCGATCTCTGCGGTAGGTAGTCGAATTTGCGGCTTGGGGCCGGCGCTGGGGCCTGGAATTTATTGTCCGATCTGCCAGAGCCTGCAATATTAGGAAGGCGATGATTCATACTCCTGATCGTGACAGGCAAAGCCTCCGGGACCTCCAAGCCCTAGCAAAATCGGTCCTCAAGTCCGTCAAGATATTCCCACGTACTCGATGGACACATAAAGACACGAAGCGAACTTTTACCAACCGGGAAAGTTGAAGTATGAGGTAACGACAGCGTTACCGGTGGGAACTTTGCCAAAATGAGCATGATCGTCGCGATGATGATGGTGATGATGATGATGCTGTTGCTGGTGGGGCTGATGCTGCTGTACAGTAGTGTCGAACTTATCGTCATGATGAACTTCTAGAACTTTTCTCGCCGACGGACCCTTCTCGCTGATGGACTGAGTATGCACGTTGTTCACCTGCTGGAGGAAAACCGGTCTCCCGCTAAAGCTCGGTCCTCGATGGGGTCCCCACATATTTTTCCGGAGTGTCGGCGCGACGTGTCTTCGAGTCTGGGACCCGAAGAGGCACCTACCTTGCCGCTGTAGTAGTCGGTGTGAGTCAAAGATTTTGAAGAACCCGGATAGTGCGTGGTGACGTGGTCGTGATGCTCGTAGTCCAAGGTCTGGTGTACGACGGCTGGCGGTTGGTAAAGCGTCTTGGTTGTCCGTACAACCTCCACCGGGGGAGCCTGGTGGACATGGGATCGCACAACTGGGGTCACGTGGTGCGTTATGTGCGAATGGGGAAGTTCAGACGATGACCGATGCACGTCATGATGAACTTGATGCACATCACTAGTCCGGATATTCTGGAACGATGAGCAATTCTGTTCGGGGGTTAGAACTCGCCCATGCAAAGCCTCGAAAGGCACGTATCGCTTCGAGTAGGGATTCGACACGAACATGAGTCACCGGAGGATAGTATTGAGGGTCGGCATAACCGGAGTTCTGTGGGGCTGGAGTACTGAACTGTCTGAAGCGTCTCCGAGAGGCTCCATAGGCGAGGGACTCCTCCGTCGCCAGGAGAACGATCCCGACGATGAGCAACCGCTTCATGATAAGCTTTGCGCCTCGGAGAGTTCACTGGTTGGAACTGGTGGGAGCGGAATTTTCCGGGGGAGCTTCAGTCACCGAACGAACTCCGAGAACAAGCAGTCACTGATGTCGTCGGAAGCTGCATAACCGTTAAATAGTCGAAAAGAAAAAGGAGGGGAAGAAGGACTGCTATGAAGACAACAGCGAGAGTTGATGATGTGCTTAGATGTTGTGGGCGCGCCTCAAAGTCCCGTTGATGGCTTCGTCGAGGATCTCCGGTGGCATTGGTGCATCGTTATGCATTTGCTGTCTGACATTAAGTGCGATGCCTACGACAGGAAATCTGTCGTCGGCTTGTTGATTCCTTAGTCGGCAGTTCGGCAACATCGTTACGCAGGGAGTCAGGACAATATTCCGTTTCTGTGATTGAATTTCTAATCACTCCGAGAAGGGAGTCTGCGAGCTATGTTCCCCGATCAAAAAGGAGTTGCCCTTTAGCTCGATCAGCTGTCGAGTCGATCGCTGAGCCTCGATGCGAAATCATCGGGGATCCTCAACACTTCCGGCCTTTTCAGTGCTTTCCGGGACCTTTGAACACCTGGGGGCCCTGGGCCGGAGTCTGGCCGACATCAGGCCATCATCGAGTCTGTTCCCGTTAAGACCCAAGACAGCATACGATACGATAATTGAGTAGCAGCTGGTGATACCGAAGTCGATGCTGTGATGGCTCATGAACGACTCGAGCGCTCGAACAGTTGAACTGAGGCAGAACAGACAATCAGTTTAGGGACTCGATGTCTGACTATTCGCGGAAACAGTGTTTTGGATTCTAGAACAAGAAATCCTTGAAAACCTTCTTCAACAATGGGCGGAGTTCTTACCAGAAGCCGGTGATGGCGGCTTCTATGAGCGGGAAAAGCTTTTCGGATCCCGCGTGCTGCAGAATTCTGTCGGCTGCGCCGTTGATGAGCTAGCTGCGATTATCCACACAGAAGCTTAGGAATCGAAACAGCGGGAGCGTTTTCTCCTCGATTCTAGCCAGCATGGATCTCCGAAGATACCCAATTTTCCCATCCGGGAGAGAGATACGTGGTTTCCCGCGCTCTACATCATAATCGCCACGATGATGTCTGCTGCAAACGCTCCCGACGTCCCTCTACGTGGCGCTTGCACACAGTGACATCACTGCGCCTCCAGGAGCCTTCCGAAGCAGTCGAAAAAATCCTGCAGCCTCACGATTCGGAGCCATATAAGGCGAAAATGCTCGAAAAATCAGGATGTGTACTTTTCTTGGACCTCATCGAGCAGTGAGTCGTTTTTTTCGTCTCCTTATTTAAATCGTTCGTTTCATTGCGATGAATCTCGGCAGTCTTCCTCTCTGATGCTTGACGGGTCGCCCGAGATCAATCCCGCGCTGTTGTAAGGTTTCCTGGAAGAATTGTTTGCAGCGAGTTAAATCGAAATTCTCCAGATTACAAGTCGTCGACTGCACCCTCCGCAGAGCACTGGACGTGTTGAACTTCCTAGATGGAGAATTCTGTCGGATATGTGATGAAAGGTACTGAGCGAGATATATTCGCGAATAGAGTCTCACACGGAGGAGTACGAATCCCGCATCCATTTCCTAACTTCTGAACCCAAGAACCTTTAATTCTCAGGTCGAACGAGGAGGCAAGGGAAAAGGGTAAGCTCAACATGGCGATCAGAAGGTGCGGGCGTACCTCCCATGGGTCTCGGAGATCGGCTTCAAGAGAGCGACTATCATTTTCAGATCTTCTGATGGAGGAATACGACCGACTTACGGAGTCTAAAATCATATGGACGAAACGAATAAAGTGAGTGCCTATCCGTCGAAGGAAAATCATCCCTCTCTTCGACGGGGAAGATGCGACAGGGTTTGGGTCGATGTTCTTCCAGCGATGCTTGAGACCAAAACGCATAGCACACTAATCGCTGAGCCTCTCGATCGATCGGTCCTTGTGATTCCGTCAATGCTTTCAGATCAATTGACGCTGACCTCGCGGAGCTTTCGGCGGAACTCAAGCGTCTGCAAGCCCCTGTGTAGGGTGAGATCCGAATCGAATTGCGCCTGGAATCGAATTAATCATTCGTGGAAAAATTCCAAATAGGCTCACCCTGCGACTATCGACTAGCCCGGAAGACGGTTCTTCAACGTATGCGCTCGACATGAAGGAGTCCGACGGAAGATTTGGCCATTAGCCTCTCCATCTCATCAATCTAGGAACCCCTCCGCTCGGATTTTTAAGATTTTCACGACTCTTATCGATTCCCGAAGGACTGTATCTGGCAGGAGTCAAATTCCTGAAACAAAAGCTCCAGCGGAAAGGAAGCACGTTTTACCTTTTGGATCGACTCAATCTGTGTGATGAACATAAACCGCGACCCGAGGGTTGCCTCGACTTGACAATCTTAATAAACGTCATCTTTTACATGAACGCTCAAATCCGACCACAAATCATTCGGCGCCTAACAAGCCTCGAGACTTCGCCCTCAATCATAAGCTATGAGATTTGAGATTCGCGACAGGCCGTGCAATTGTTCAGATGTGAGTCTCTGCTTTCGGGGAACTTGTGAGGGCATACATTATTTCTAAGAGTGAACGCGATCAATCCTGAGTCCAGGCCTGCCCCTTGATCCCGCCTCTATGAATTTCTCCTCTCAAGTGGTTTGTGAGCGCTCAATATCATTATGAGGGACAGGAATGGTACGACGAATTGCCTCGTTTTCGTCTCCTTCCGATTCCTTGAATTCTGAAGTCATGGCTTACGGCACTCAAAAGGAGCTCGGGACCGCAAGGGCCGTTTTAATGGTTTATTCGGATCAGATGGTATCATCATTCATAATATGTACACAACAACCTTCCGATTCAGGCGCGAGTTGGCTCAGCGGATCCCGTGTTTTCTCGCTCCGATTTTTCGAGGAGGCGCTTCGTTGACTCCACGGCATTGCGATTAAGCTCTGTGGTCAAACTCAGTTTGATTGCGAGTTCGTCTGTTGTGAAGTAATATTCATTGCAATTGTTGTGTGCTCAAGTGTTTCCGGATACACGCCGCAACTATTGCATGTCGTGTCTGGGTCGGCGGAGAACAGCAATCTGTGAACCCTGGTGAGTAGGGAGCTCGCTCTGGAAAGCGCCAGGAGGGCAGATCCTCTGCTGTTGTCCTAGATATGGACCGGTGATGTTCTCGAGTCTTTGTAATGGCGATAGACTCTGAGCATTGTTCTACCGGATATCCCAGCCACCCAGGCGAGGTCTTGCGTGGTCCTTATTCTTTCGCTGATCTGGCGATAATAGGCACCCAGGAGGGCTCAGTTTCGCTCATCATGTTCGATCTAAAGTGTGTCACATCCAAAGTTGAGCTTGAGCTCCTCCATTCTAGCAAATGACCTCGTTGGCTGCCCTTCCAGGAGAATCTTCTCCAACATCGCTTTGGGCCAGCGTGCTGCTGGCATGGATGCGATACGGGCGGAATATTTGAGCTTGCTCTCGGCTTCTCTCGCTTCAAACGAGGACCAGTTGAGTTGGCAACCTTCCATCCTGGCAGGCCAAGCGCCCAACGTGCGGCATCACGCTGCGATATCTCAATCGTTTCGCGTGTTGCCGCGGTCATCGATGTGACAGCGTTGGTGTAAGTGAGTTTGGGGACCACGACCGCTCTCCAGTAGGTCTTTGAAAGCTGCTCTGCCCTACATGTCCAGACAGCCGAGCTTGAAGCAAGTGCTCCATACGTCAGTGCCTATTCTACTTCGTCGTGTTGCGGCAGGCTTCCGCACCGAGCAGATCGCCGACGGAAGTCTTCGGCAACTCGGAGCATCTGTAGCGAGAGACTGCGATCCTCTTCACAGCTGAGCGATTTGCCCTCGACTCGGCGTCGCCGCCGCTCAGAGTTCCTCCGTCGTTTCCCGCGCTAGGAGATCATGCCTGATGACCATGGTGACATGGAATCACTTAGACGTCAACGCGGTCTTTCGGTCTGGATCGATGAATCATATCCAACAAGGCGTCTTTCAACTTGCCTTGACGACGAATGCCCGCAAGTGACGAGTATTGAGCTACGGAGAGATTGGGGGCCTCCGGCGCGCCAAGTGACACAGAAAGACGGGCGATACGTTGGGCTGGATAGTAAGGAGCATGCTGAAGTCCTAGGCATTTTCTCCGAGCCACAAGACGCTGGACAACATACAGGAGGCTCAGGACACAGAGCCGCAGAGCGGTTGCCTCCCGAAACAGCATCCCCTCAACTGGGATAGCATCAAGTGTGCTCCGTTGCGTTTCCTCTGGACCTGCACCAATCAAGAGCGGCAGCGGGTGCCATTTTCTGGGCATTGTTCTTTTCTTGTCGGTCGCGACAAGCATGAATCAATCCATGACTATCCCTCTGCAAGCGATTCGCTTCCCGGGGATTGGGGAAAAACAACGAAACATGATTTATTCATTCGGGGGTTTCGAGCGAGGTTCGCATCCGATAATCGCTGATCGATCCCAACTCCGCAAAATTCCTTCTCGGTCGTTTCTTCGAAATGAGACATCCCCTATCTTGGCCCCGAGGCGAGGTGAAGAGCGCACGGAAGTATTCGGGCCGTTTCGCAGCTGCGGGGACGGACATTGCCGCGGGGCTGTCCCTCTGTAGAGCGTGCGACGGACAGCAGGTTGTGCTCTCGAGAAGGAAAATTGGTATCGCTCCGGTGATCACCTTCGCACCCTCGCCCGCGAGAGCGATCGGCGTATTCACGTCCCCCACCTAGCTCGCGCTAATCACGACCTACGACCTGATCTAGACGCGGACCGTGGCATCTACGCTTTGCGAAAATTTTACGACTACGAGATCGACAATACCCCGATGCTCCGAGAATACCGCGATCCAGCTCCCCTGCGGAACCGGAGCCTCTTCGCTAACAGATCGATTCCTTCAGGAGGACCGAGCACTGTTTTGCTAAATCTAGAGGACGAGGATGGCCTTTTTGTCGTACTGATCTCGGCGGACATCCGAATGTTCAACCTCTTCACAATGAGTTCCGTGATAGGTTTCTAATAGAGCAGGGAAGTGAGTGTTGATGTGGTCGCAATGGTCCAGAACAACGATCCAATGGTCCAGAATGCGATCCAGAACAACCCGATTGAGCTCCCCCATGTGGCTCTTCCCGGAGAGTATGCTAATGCGCTGACGACGACCCGGAAGCCAGCATTCTCGATGTAAAACGGATGCTCACTCAGTCAGAGTGATTTTGGCCTATGCGGCTGGGCTGTACACTGAGAATGTCGAGCGCACTCTCCGATGCCGCTTGTGGATGCAAATCTCATCGGATGCGAAGATCCCCTGGACGGGGTATCTGCGTTAGACGAGTCGAAGGTGATTCGGAGCTGATCGGGCGGTACTAGGTGTCTCTCGTCTCTCTTTGGTGTTATGACGCTGAACCGAGAGAAACGTACGTCTGAGTGCGATTCGAACCTCGAGGTTGTGGAATTTCTTCAGCGCCGAAAGACATGTGCCGCGGCTGTCCCACCGATCTTTTCCCCGTTTGAGTGGTCAGCCAGGCGTAACTCTGCCCGACGAAGTTCCTTATTTGGTCGCGTAGCCCCGTTCCTGGATTTCACGATCCGCAGGGATTACGGCTCCGTGAGGGATTCTCTCGACCCCGATCCGCAGGTTCTGATAAGGTGCTCCCTACATTGAGACGATGAGTTCTTGCTCGGGAGTCGGCTTGGATTAGTCTCCTTACTCATGTCGCTTTTTTCGCTCTCCAGACTTCAAACCGTATACGGGAACCAAGAATGGATGCGTATCCTTTTTTGGGGAGCGCCAGATTATAACACGGGAAACTGTCGAATTATCTGAACTGAAATGGGCGGTGAAGCAATCGAGAACAAACGATTCTCCTAGTGTTGCTGGCTCTCGTGAACGTTCTATGTACGTCCAAGGAGAGGTTATGAGCTCAACGGTGGCGGATGACGGATGCCACTCGATTCGATGCTGAAATGACTTACTCGTCCAGAAGTCTGAATCTGCATCAGCTATGTTCACCTTTTCTCGGCATGGACGACGAGCTCCGCCCGCTTCCGAGGAAAGAAGGTGGAAGTCGGAGTATACGTATAGTCGACGCATAGTACTATCAAGCTTCCGCCGTGTTCTCGTCCTGAGCATCAAGCTACTACTGAGATTAGTAGCTTGATTCTTCGTCAGTCGATTCCGTCTCGTTCTCTGTTTTTTCTGCCCCTCAAGCGGATCGTGCAACCCTCAGGTTGGCCATCTTGCTTAGAGATCCGAAAACTGAACAAATCGTGAGGACGTGTTTCTGTCTCTTGCCCCGAAGCTCTTCTCGCCTGCCGCGAACGACAACTGCCATCCTGATCACGGCGCCGCGTTGTTGAAATACCGTCGAGGGTATTCGATAGTCCAGGGGCACCCAAATCCTGCTCCAAGTAACCCGCGACGAGTTACCTGCCTGCCTACAGGGGATCCCTCCCCTGAATCCTGTGTGCTCCGCCGGATCGTCGGTAGCTGAGACCGCGACAAGGTACTATGTGGCGAGAAGCGACGTGTGCCTCTACTCACGCTGCTACACGTCTCGATCATCAGTCCCGGCGCGATCCGCCTGGTACGAACTCTTCTGGTTTTTCACGCTACCTGCTCAACATTCATAGGCTCAACATTTCATCATAATCCCAGAATGCACACTTAATCGAGTCAACGAACTCAAAGCAGCTCCCAATCAGCTCCCAAACTCGATGGTGGATCATTCGTCCTCTGCGTAGAGCAGCAAATTGGCGGATCAATCCGACGTTTATACTCCCGGGGCTGATAGGTGAGACTCGCCGTAGGAGTCCGTGACAGACGAAACGCGGCTGTCAGAGGAATCGAAATGTGTGGGAAGGTTTCCACAGGCAGAGAAAACGGTCAGAAGGATATGAATGGAGTTCGTCCCGGAGCGAATAAGACGCAGGCGCTCGAATCGCAGGCCGGACTGGCATTGACACGAGAAGGAACTGGTGGGAGTGACGAAAAATTAGATTCCCTGTCAGGAGATAAGAAGTGAATCGGAACAATGGCTTTTTGGGAAAGGGGTCCGTCGCTGTTGATCTCGAGCTGCCGGTCAGGGCCCGAGCTCCGGGAATGGAATCAGTGATTCCATCGCTCACCGAATATTTCCCGAATCGGGGAGCCATGGCGGAGGACCAGCAGAGCTGAGGCTCAAGTGCCATGATACCCCATCGTCTCCGGACTTCCCATCTGGATGTGACCTCTCCATCACGAATGAAGCTCGAAGTCGCATCGGAATCTTTTTAGATGAACACTCAATCGAGGAGATCGGTCGGCTCGCGAAGATTCCCAATTGCCCCAGCCAAGAACTGCTCACCGAAAAATCCTCCAGATCCATGTGTGATCGCTCAACGACTCGATTCGGAAGCGAACGGAATACGTGTCTGGACGTTGCTGCCC